GTATTCGGAGGGTTCAGTGCGAGACACAGAGGGAAAAGAGGCAAGCCAAGAAGCCCTTCTTGGCGGGATTCCTTGGCGGAGTTTCTTGGCGGGGATTTCCTCCCTCCCTTCCTCCGTACTCCAATTATCCTGAGGGTCTGGGTCCTTATCAGCAAAACACCCCCCCCCCCCCCCCCCCCAAAATCGAATATCTCCGTGGTTCATCGCAATTTGCCACCCGGCACTGGTATGTTCCAGAAGTTATGTATGCCATTATGCTAATCTTTTGCCCCTGCTAGTGCCATCTGTCTCGAGCGCCTCAAAGTGGAAGTGGACGAAGACGAGAAGCTTCCCACGACTACCACCGACATCACTACCAACAACCTCCCGCCAACACAACCCAAACCCGCCTGGATCCCCCAGCGATACTACCACGGCAGCAGCGGAGTGCTGGCACCGACCAACGCTGACTCCGATCTCGAACGAGGCGTGGGATTGGGCGATTGGCGCCGCGGGTCGGTGCCGCTATCAGTCTCATCGTCGTGCTCCACAGATTTAGACGCGGAGCATTCCCAAAAGAACGAGAAACAGCAACAGGATGAGGTGGTGGTGCTGAATCGCTGCAGCCATGTCTTCCATGCCGCGTGCTTGGTCCTGTGGGTCGAGCAGCATCGGTATCGGTGTCCGATCTGTCAGGCTTCGTTGAAGCAGAATCCGTAGTAGTTGGTGGATAGTGAGTTTGCGTGTGTGTGTGTGTGTGTGTGTGTGTGTGTGTGTGTGTGTGTGTGTGTGTGCTTGCTTGCCGATTATCCGTCTTTTTGTTAGTGTTGTATTTTTGGTGTTTGCCGAGTCTGTCGCCAAGAATGCGTGCAGGTCTCACGGTTGAGGTGGATAAGGATGGTGTTCTGGTGTTCTTGGGTGTGGTTGGTTGGCGTGTTTTTCTGGAAGATGATGGTTCTGGTCTTGAGTTCTGGTCTTGGGGTTTGGCGTTTGCGTTTATGTTGCGTTTGCGCGAATCCTGCTATGAAGTAACGTGTGTTGTACTACCCCCCCTCCCCCATCTTCTTATGTAAGGTTCAGTGCATTGCTGGGCGGGCTTATAGCCTCGCCTCTCGTCAGCGTGCTCGCACGCATCATCCTTGGCAATGGCATCCAACCCAACCCCAGCAGGAGATCTGTCTATTTCTCTTAGTAACGTAAAAGCAACCAAGCGAAAGTTGCACCATGACCAAATCATGCATCATCGCCAAGCAGCGCACGGGACAAAAAATACCCCCTTCTAGAATCATTCCCTGAAGCCATCTCACCCATCACCGCATCACCATGCTGCTGCATGCCTCGCGCCGCGTGTCTATTCCCTGTTCGATCGAACACGGAAGCCCAGCGACCGGACTGGATCAGTCCCTTAGTACGGCCGTAGTCCTCAACCAATCCGCATCGGCAGACCTACTACCCCCGGCCCAAACTCCGAATCCCCTTCCACCTCCGCAGAATCAGCAGCAGCAGCAGCAGCAGCAGCAGCAGCAGCAGCAGCAGCAGCAGCAACAGAAACAAACGGATCACACCCTTGGATGACTATCTCATCGAACCGCCGACTCACGCGACTGTAGTTCAGCCCGTACCGGCCCAGCTCCTGCAGCCGTATCGACACCCAATCCTGGTAGATGCGGTCCGGGGTCGCGATCCCCGCGATGAACAGCGGCCAGATGATCCGGACCATCAGGTGGGGCCGGCTGCGGTGGAGTTTGAGCGAGAGAGAGAGGACCTGGTTGACGGCGGTTTCCAGCGGCGGAAGAAGTGACCCGGCTTGTTTGGTGGCAGGCGGTGGGGGGACGGTGTCCTTGAAGCAGAGGTGGAAGTACACGATCGTGCCGTAGAAGGTGATGGTCGCCCAGAAGATGGTTTCCAGGACGCGGCGGCTGGCAGTGTCGCAGGCTGGCGCGGTCAGGGCGGTGGTGAGGATGCTGTCGTTTTCCTTGTGGGGATTTAGCATATCTGAAGGGATAGGAAGGGAATTCTACGAGACGCATACATACTTCCAGGATCAGGGCGAGTTCGTCGACGAGCCGACGATACGAGACCTCCGAAGTCTGCTGGCCTTGGCGCCAGAGTTCGGTGATCTTGAACTGCATGACATGGCTTCGGTGGTAGAGGATCAACGCGGGCTGGTTCTCGATGTCGTCCAGCTGGGCCGTCGTCGGGTATGAGTCGCCCCAGAAGCGGCGGGGCGATTGGCGGCCGATGCGGTAGAGCTCCGCCAGGCTCAAGCCTCTCTGCTCGGCCTCGTCCTGGATGAAGAACCGGAATAGGTCGGCGTCGAGTCGCGCGGCCGCAGGCCCGCAGAAGAGGGCCCCCGGGGTGAAGAAGTACAGCGTCCACAGCAGGAAGAGTGGCACCGCGGTGTGACGGAGTCTGCTGGTCGCCAGACCAGGCAAATCATTCGTCGGCAACATGGTCGTCTTCTGAGTGCTATCTACAGCGGTCTTCGTCGCATCTCCCCAGGGCAAGGCGCCGGCACCTGCACCTCCACTCTCCGCGATAAGCGCGGGTGCCGATGAAGTAGGTTTCAGCAGCGGAACGACATGGTTGAAGAGCAAGCTCTCGATTCCCCGGATGTGCACATTGATGGCCGCGGTGCCGCTCCCGAAGCGGTTCTCGTAGTCGATCATCAGCCACAAAGTGATGAAGATAGCCTCCAGCTGCTCCGACGACTTCTCGACCTCCGGCCGCAATGCCTCCCGCAGACCGGCCAGCGCCCGTCCGTAATGCATGCGACCCCCCAGATCCGCCACCGTCTCCACCGCGTCCCGCGGCTGGTCGCTGTCGTAGAGCTGGGCGCGACGGATCTCGCTCGCCGTGCTCGCCAGCAGCATGCTCATCACCATGGGCTCCCGGACCGCGATCTTGTGGTAGGCGTACGACATGGCGGACCACGGCCAGTGTTTGCCAAGAAGCACGACCAGCGCGGAATCTTGGAGGTAGGCGATGCACGAGCGGTCGAAGCCGGTCAGCACCAGCGAGTTGGCCGCTTGCACAGTCCTGCTTTTGCCCCCGGGGGACGACAGGGTGAAAATCCTGGAAGACTGAGAGGGCGACGGCGCCGTCGTCGTCGTCGTCGTCGTCGTCGCGGAGGGGCTCTTTCGTGTGGTTGTACTATGGGCCGGGCTACCCGCATTCCCCTCCATCTTCTGTACTACTTCCTTGGTCGTGGATGCGGGAGCGTTTCTCCGGGCAGGAGGCCGGGGGATAGGGCCGCCCTTCCACTCGCACAGGATGCGGGCGGCGGTGCAACGCCGGCATTGCGGTTCAGGCTGGCCGGGGACGGCCAATTTCTCCTCGTCGCACTTGATCTTGCGGATTCGACATGTGCGACAGCCTGCGTAACGTCAGTCCATCGGTTAATCATTCCAAGATCACTCCTGACAGGGTATCCAAGTGGATCCTCACCGGTCCTGGAGCGAGTCTTCTTGCCGAGCTTATGCATCCCGATAGTGCTGCTGGAGTTCGGCAACGCTCCACTTGGTCATTTGCTCGTGAGGGAATTGTGTCGAGTGGGGGTCTGTCAGGGTCATGTATATTCGATCAATGTGAAGGCTGACAGGCTGTAAGCGATGCTGCCACGCAGATAAGCCAATGTTAAGCGATAGGGGATGAGGGGAAGAATCTCGTCGTCGCGATATTGTCCAAAAGCCAGGCCGGAGGAATAGCCGGGCCGCCTAAAGTGCCGAGGCAGACAATGCGATTGGCTGTGTCGGCACTGGTCAGGTGACAGGCAGCAGCATTGAACCAATCAGACTTGGATGTGGGGCCCACTCTGCTTCGGCAATGCAGCCGATCGATAAGCGGGTGGATGCCTGATAAGCCGGGCATTAACTGCGGCCAGCATCTCCGCATCTCCGCATCACCAGAGGCCATTCGGATTGTCGAGTCGCACAGATATAAGATAGCGCCCATGATGTCTTGTCCTCACAGGAAGATAACGCCCAAGTGCAAGATCCGCCAACATGACAGTTCAAACCTCGGAAGAACGTTTCATCGCAAGCGTCCAAGAAGCCCTGCGCAACTATGACACCCAACTACAGAACATCAACCAACAGGTACCGTCGCCTTCCCAATCCCCTAGACTACATACATACAAACCCACACGACTCGATCACAAACATGAAGTCCCGGTTGGCCACTCGAACTAACCAAGCCCCAGATCTGGTCCAATCCCGAACTAGCCTACGAGGAACACCAAGCCCACGACGCCATCTGCACCCTCTTCGACACTCTCTCCTCCACCACGGACTTCACCTTCACCATCCACCGCTCCGCCTACGACATCCCCACCGCCTTCGAGGTTACTTACACACACGGCGACCCGTCGCGCGGCCGCGTGGTCGCCTTCAACGCCGAATACGACGCCCTACCCGGCATCGGCCACGCGTGCGGCCACAACCTGATCGCGACGAGCTCCATCGCCGCCTTCCTAGCCACCTGCCACGCCATGCGCTCTGCGGCCACCACCGCATCAGCAGCAAGCGACGCCGCGAGCTTCACCGTGAAGCTGCTCGGCACGCCCGCCGAGGAATCCGGGGGCGGCAAGATCCAGCTCCTGGAGCGGGGCGCGTACCAGGGTGTGCACGCGTGCCTGATGGTGCACCCGGTGCCGATGGCGCCGCAGAACCCGCGGCTGCTGACGCTGGCGACCGTGTTGCCGGGCGGGTACCTGGCCAACGACAAGCTGCGCGTGACCTTCACGGGGAAGCCGGCGCATGCGGCGGCGGCGCCGTGGGAGGGGATCAACGCGCTGGACGCGGTGGTGGCGGCGTACGTGAATGTCTCACTGCTGCGGCAGCAGATCCTGCCCACACAGCGCGTGCACGGGGTGATCGTCAACGGCGGGGAGCGGCCGAATGTCATCCCGCGCAGTGCGTCCGTGGACTACTATATCCGGTCGCCGACGGTGAAGTCGTTGAAGGGGCTGTCGGAGCGGGTGGTTAAGTGCTTTGAGGCGGCGGCGGTGGCGACGGGGTGCGAGGTGGCGTTTGAGTGGTGAGCTTTCTGATTCCTGGGGGTAGATTGAGCGGTATGCTGACGCTTGAAGCGGTAGGGGACCGTCGTATGCGGATCTCAAGACTAATAATCCCATCTGCGAGAGCTATGTCTCTGTCATGCGGGCGATGGGTCATCTCACCTTGTTCGACAACACGGGACAGAAGAGTGCGATTACCGGGGCGTCGACGGATCAGGGTGCGTATTCAGTCCTGGTTGGTTTGCACTGCGTGGGATCATACTGACGATCTAGGTAACGTGTCGTACACCGTGCCCGGCTTCCATGGCATCTTCACCATCCCCACCGACGGGGTCAACCACACGCCCGGATTCACTCAGGGTGCGGGCTCGCTCGAGGCATACCAGCGGGGGATGGCGTGCGCGGCGGGCATGGCGGTGGTCGCGTGTCAGGTGCTGGTGGACGATGAGTTTGCGGCGCGGGTGCAGCAGGATTTCGAGATGGAGAGGGAGTAGTTGATGTCTGGTGGGGTTAATGCCTTGTATTTTGGAGAAACATGTCATGAACCGCAGAATAACAGCGAATGAACCAGATAAGGTGATCAAAAATACCAATCCAGACCAATACCTCAACACAATCAACTCTCAGAGTATGCGAATCATAAATGCCATTTCTCAAAATCTAACCACTAAAGGAATCACAAACTAGTCGCGACCTGCGCAGACACCTCCCTCACCTTCTCCTCCAACACAGCCGCCTGCTCGGCCTCCTCCTTCTTGCCGGGCACCTCAGCCTCCAACCCCTCCCTCTCAAAGCTCTTCATAGGATAATACCCCCAGCGCTCCATCATCTCACGATCCTCATCCCACCCATTACAATCCGTCGTCAACATCTTCTCACCGGTGAACACCGCATTGGCGCCCGCCTGGAAACACGCGATCTGCTGCTCCTCACTCAACGAGATCCGGCCCGCGGCCAACCGCACAATCGTCGCCGGCAACACGACTCTGGCAGTGGCCACCGTCCTCAACAACCGATCAAAGGGGATCATCTTGCGATCGCCCAACGGGGTCCCCGGAATCGGCACGAGGGCATTCACCGGAAAGCTCTCGGGGTGTTTGGAGAGATTCGCCACCGTGAAAATCAACCCCACGCGATCCTCATCCTTCTCGCCCAACCCCAAGATCCCACCACTGCACACATTAATGCCCGCATCGCGCACATTCGCCAGCGTGCGCAGCCGCTCGTCGTACGAGCGCGTCGTGATGATGGACGGGTAGAACTCGCGCGAGGTATCGAGGTTGTGGTTGTAGGCCGTCAGGCCGGCGTCCTTCAGCTCCTTGGCCTGCGCCTCGTCGATCATGCCCAGCGTCACGCACACCTCCATCCCCATCTCGCGCACGCCGCTGACCATCGACTTGATGTTTTTGAGCGAGGTCTTGCGGCCCCGCATGTCGCGCCACGCCGCGCCCATGCAGAACCGCGTGGATCCGTTAGCTTTGGCGGTGCGGGCTGCCGTGAGGACTTCGTCGACGGCGGACATCTTCGTCGCCTTTAGGCCCGTGTTGTGCCGCGTGGATTGCGCGCAGTAGCTGCAGTCTTCGCTGCAGCCGCCGGTTTTGATGTTCATGAGAGTGCACATTTGGATGGCGGAGGGGTCGTGGAATTTGCGGTGGATGAGGGACTATTCTCGGTGCGTTAGTGAGGGTTTGAGGGTGGGCAGTGGGGGGGGGGAGGGGCATTGTGTGGTCTGGATGGGAGGGGTGGGTGAGTGAATGAGTAAGTGAGTGAGGGCGATGGGTGCCGTGGTCAATGGATAAATAATTGGAGGTATACTGACAGCAGCATAGGTCAACTGGTTCAACGGGGTATCGTAGACCTGCTGGATCTCCTCCTTGGTCCAGTTGGTGCGTGGCGTGGTGGCATCGGTCGCCTCACGCAGCACCGCCGGCACTCGACTGGCCAGCGCCGCCGCACTGGGCGAGGTCGACTGCACCGTGCCGTACGCGCGGCGGAAGGCCGTCCGCGGGAGGACTTGTCGTAGCGAGATCATTCTCAAGCGTGTGTGTTTTCTCTTAAAAAATGGAGAGAAAGGTCAAAACGGTGAAGAGAAGAGAAGAGAAGGGAAGAAAAGAAAAGGGTGGTGGGGGAGGAGATGCAGGAAGAAAGAGGGGGAGGGATGGATAACTGCAATGAACTAGACCGGGGTTCGGAGTTGCTTGGTGACTAGGGCAGGCCACTCACTCCAGAGTCTAACAGTCTATCTACTGTGACGATAATGACTGGGCTAGTCGTCCAGCAACCCCCCGAACACGGACAGGGCAGTCACTCACCTAGTGTTGGACAAGCTTCACACAACCTCGGGCTGGAGAGGGGCAGGAGGGGCAGGCTGTGGTCACTAGCTGTGGGCGACAGCCAACACCCTCACCGGTCGTGTTGACCCCAACCGCTGAGGGTTCAACCCCCCATGCAGCGTGCGATTGACTTCAACGGGACTGGCAGATCCAACTCACTCACTCACCACCACCAGGCCAGGCTCCTCCGACACCAGGCTCCACCTTTCTGGGATCCTCGGGCCAAAGGAGACCCGCGGATTGAGACAATTCCGATTGTCATTTCGATCAGTCTATTTGGTTGGTCAGGTACCCGCCACACTATGGGGAAAAGTGCCGCCGGTGATGTCAATCAAGGTCAATCCAGTTGAATCAACACAAAATAAACACCGAATTTGCCTGCCACATGATTGGTGGATAAGCGGGAGGACCTCCCGGTGAAGATAAATTACTCAGCGCTGAGTCATTAGCTACAGCCAAGCCGGCCAGATTTTCATTCAAAGTGGACACAGCGCGATTTTCGAGTACGAGTAAATAAAAACAATTATTTGGATTTCGGGACCCAATTGAATAGACTTGTGAACTCCGTACATGTACAGTGAAATCCTCTTGCTCGAAACAAGAGCCGGCTATATACACAACTTTTACCTTGTATGTACACTTCCTGAAAGTAAAATCTCGGCAGAATACTCCCCCGGAGAACTGTCTTCACCCACCTACAAGGCGAGAACCTACAGCAATCCCCCCCGCAATACTTCCTCAATTGCCCGAAGCGACGCCGGCTTGGACGTCACGCTCGACATCAAATACAGCACATTCCCGAGCACCCGCGAATGCACCGCGAACTGCTCCGACCCCGCGGCTAAGCGTTGCTGCAGCCCCTGCGCCGCCCGGGAGGTGTAGCCGCCGCCGTGCTGATCCTTGAGGGCGATGCTCAGCACCGTGCCCAGCGCAAACACCCCCTCAACCGAGGCCGCCCGCGACAGATCCCGCACCAGCTCGTGGGACCAGACGCTCCAGACCGAAGGACCCGTCGTAGTAATCCCCGCAGCAGCAGCCGGGCTGCTGCTGCTGCTAGCCACCGTCCAATCGCGCTGGTACCCCTGCCAGGCCCCCTCGCGCTCCATCCGCATCATCGTCTGCAGCGAGTCCACCGCCACCTGGCAGCCGACCGCGTGCGCGGTGTAACTGTGGCCATGCAGCAGCGCATCGGTCTTGTCGTCGCTCAAAAACGCCCGGAAGATCGGCTCGCTGGCCAGCGTGGTGCACAGCGGCACGAGGCCGCCGGTGAGCAGCTTGGCGTTGACGGAGATGTCGGGCTGCACCTGCAGGAAGGAGGCGGCCGATCGCCGCCCTAACCGGTACAGCCCGGTGAAGACCTCGTCGAAGATGATAGGTAGGCCCGACCAGTCATTTGCTCCCGCAGGCGGGGAGGTTTGAGGGGCAAACAGCTCCGGGTGTTGGCGCACCACGTCCGCCAGACACCGCTGGAACAGGGGATCACTGTTGCCCTAAGTCAGCCATGCGGTGTCCAACACCGACAAGGGGGAAAGCAAAAGAAAACAAAACCAAAAAAAAAAAAAAAAAAAAAAAAAAAAAAAAAAAAAGAAAGAGAAAGAATACTGACCAGAACAACATTCCGCCCGCACCCAGAATAATCGGCTCCATCATCAGCGCGCCAAACTTGATTCCCTCCTGCTGCACTAGCCGTTGGATGGACTGGTGAATATACCCCCGATACCGCTGGCCCGCCTCGGAGTCCACTCTCTGCTCCAGATCAAACACCTCCGACAGGGATTCAAACTGCAGCTCATCTCCCAGCGCCTTCTCGGGCATGCTGATCTTCCACACCCCATCCTTCATCCCCACCTGGGGGAAATCAAACCAATGGCCCCGGCCCCGATACCACTCCACCTTCTTGTTGTACGTCGAGGGCTCCGAGCAATCCATCACCCCGATCGTATCCCCATGATAGCTGCCCTTCAACCCCAGGATCCGGATGGGTTCCGCACTCGCATCCCACCCGTACCGGGCGCACGCCGCCCGCAGGCCCATCTTAACCGCCACCTCCATCCCCGTACTGCCATTATCCGTATAGAACACTCTCTTAAGCCGGGGATTTTCCTGACTCTGGAGCACCGTCTCCGCCAGTGCTAGCGCCGGCTCGTGGATATTCCCCGGGAGCATGACATGCCCATATCTCCCGGCTGCATACGCCGCCGAGAGCGCGAGATCGGGGTTCCCATGGCCCAACCCCTGCGTCCACCACGAGGCGGACCCGTCGAACGTCGAGCGTAGTGCACTGTCCCCATCACCGGTATTCCCAGCCTTCTCCTGACGATAACTCTGGAAATAATCCTCATACGCCGAGTCAATGACCGAGATATCCTTGGCCGTCACCCCCTGATGCTGCGTAAACGGATACCAGATCGTCTCCTCCGCCTTGCGCGCCATCTCCTCCAACCGCTCCCAGCGCTCGGTATGCTTGCGCTCCAGCGCCTCGACCACCGCGCCCAGCCGGCCCTCCCGCACCGTCCGCTCATAGTACCGTCCCATCGCCTCCGCATCCTTAGCGGCTGCATCCACCTCCCGCGAATCCGGCCGCGGCGGCGGCGGCGGCACCGCGACGAGCGGGATCGCCTTCTTGGCGAAGTACTCCTTTAGGTAGCTGTGGTTCTGGTAGTAGTCGTCCCGGAACAGCAGCACGGAGTGCACGTCGTACCCGCGCAGGAGGAGGGACTCGTAGGCGGAGATGGAGGCGGAGATGCCCCCCAGCCGGGAGTCGGCGATCAGGATGATGGGCAGGCGCAGCGGGCGGTAGAGGTCCGCCTGCGAGGTGCCGTTGGGGCCCGGGGAGTGGACCCCGCCGGCGGTTTCGACGAGGGCGTGTTTGGTGGCGGTTTGCGACGACCACGTGCTTAGGGTGCGGTGGATGGCGTCGAGAAGTTGGGGGTCGCTGGGCACGGTGGTGGTGGTGTTGGGCGTGTGGGCGGCGAGGTGCGGGCTGACGGGGTCGGCGAATTGGTAGAGGCATTTGGTCTGCGTGTGCGGGGCGTAGCGTTGGATGTGGCTGCAGCGTTTGGTTGGATTAGTATGTGGTGTGGTTGTGTGTGTGTGTGTGTGCTCAATGGGAGCAAACGTACCGATCATCAGCTTCGTCTAACGGCCCCGTGGAGACGGGCTTGAGGAAGCCCACCGGTCCGTGATGCTGTAAGGCGTTGCATAGTAGGGTTGAGACAATGGTCTTGCCGACGTCGGTGTTGGCGCCGTAGACCTGGTGGGCGCGCAGAGAGCGCCAGAGCGCGGCGGCTGGCATTTTTGGGGGGGTGATTCAATTGCAAACTCAATGGCAAGTTCTCAATTCCTTCATCACAATCTCAGCTGCAAGTCACAGCACTTGTAAGTTGTAGCTTCCTCAAGGGCCGAGGTCGAGTGTCTCTCCGGTGGGAGGAAACGGAAGTGGGGAAAGAAAAGCGGGCGAAGAGACAACCAGGAACGATAAGAATTGGGACAATGACGAAAAAAGAAGCTCCGAACCGAGGATGAAAACTGAAAGCCGTCTGAAAAGGCTGGAGTGGAGCCGCCCTCAACAGTCAACAGTTTTCCATTTGCATTGCAAAACAGATTTGCTGGGGGTTTCTGGTCGGATTCCGATTCAGTTCCTCTGGGCAAGGTTGAATCTGACAATTCGGCAGAACGATGACTCTTTCTCAGGCCCCCTGCCCGGCCCTGCCCCATCACGCGTTGTAGGTAGCCACTAACCATTAAGCCAGCTAACGGTACGTTAGCCCTAGTTCACCTGGTTAATCACGGAGTAACTAAACCACTACCTACTCGTAAATTAATTGCCTTACTCCACCTTCTTCCACCCTCTCCGAGATGGAGCTGATTGCTTGGGCTCGAACTAATTTCTGAACTACCGATCCAAAATAGACAAATGGGATCGATTACACATGAATTGACTAAAAATACTCCAGACTCATATAGCCCACCGGATCCCCAGATTGTAGGCATGTACATCGTAGCCTACATCCCGTAGAACCCTCATCCACCATGCCCCCCTCACCATCTTTACCACCACCCTCCCCCTCACTCACACCCACACCTACACCCCATACCCCCCTCCGGCAAACCCTGCGCCAAACTCTTCAGCACCGCGCCCGCAACAACACCCTCCGCAAACTCACCCTCCCCGCCAAAAATGCCATCGACTTCTCCTCGAATGACTTCCTCTCCCTCTCCACGAACCCCCTCTACCGCTCCCGCTACCTGCACCACCTAACCACCCTGCCCGCCTCCCACCCGCTCGCCAGCGGCGGCTCGCGCCTCCTCGACGGCAATTCCGCCTACACCGAAGCCCTAGAATGCCAACTGGCGCGCTTCCACAACAGCGAATCCGCCCTCCTCTTCAACAGCGGCTTCGACGCCAACTGGGGGGTCCTCTCCACGCTCCCGCAGCCCAATGACTTGATCGTGTACGACGAAGCCATCCACGCCAGCGCCCACGAGGGGATGCGGCGATCCCGCGCCTCGCAGATGCTGGCGTTCCGGCATAGCAGCCCGGAAGGTCTGCACGCGGTGCTCAGCGCCCAGATCCATGCGGATCCCGGTCTGCGGGATGGTTCCCGGAATGTGTTTGTGGTTGTGGAGAGCGTGTACAGTATGGACGGGGATGTGGCACCGCTGGCGGAGTTTGTGGCCGTCGTGGATGAGCTCCTGCCTCGCGGGAATGGGTATTGGGTGGTGGATGAGGCGCATGCGACGGGGGTGTGTGGGCCCAAGGGGGCCGGGGTGGTGCAGGGGCTGGGGTTGGAGGGGCGGATGTTTGTGCGGGTGCATACGTTTGGGAAGGCGCTGGGCTGTCATGGTGGTATGTTTTCCTTTCTTCAGGGGGGAGGAGATGAAGGCTAATGGAAGTGTGCAGCGGTCGTGCTTTGTGATCCTGATACGAGGGAATACCTCATCAATTATGCCCGGAGTCTGATTTATACGACCGCGCTGGGGTTTCCGTTTCTCGCGGCGATCCGCACGGCGTATGAGTTGTTGGAGAGTGGGGAGACGGTCGAGGTAAGCTTTCCTTTGTCTGCATGGGAGAGAAAAAAAAAAAAAAAAAAAAAAAAAGCGTCGGGATATAGGATGAAGCTGACGCGACATAGTTGCAAGAAACGCTGCATCAGCGGATCCACTATCTCCGGGAGCGATTAAGCGCAATCCAGCCGGTGGACGCGACGTTGTTCACCCTGGACCACCACCCGGGGTCCCCGATCTTCTCGCTGCGGTGTGCCTTGCCGCGGCGACTGGCGGCCGCGTGCCAGGCCCGCGGGTACGTCGTGCGCGCCATCTTGCCGCCCACGGTCCCGGCGGGCCAGGAGCGCGTGCGCGTGTGTCTTCATGCGGGGAATACAGAAGACGAAGTTGATGGGTTGGTGGAGACGATCGTGGAGTGGTTGGAGAAGGCGCAGGGCGAAGCGCAGATGCAGGTTGCCAAGGTTGCGCGGTTGTGAGGGTTGCGGTGTTCTTGCTGTAAGTATGCATATAGTAGACACGTATATATGGGTGGATTCTTGCATTCGGCAAACATCATATGGTAAACAAAAGGTGAATATAGGAAAAAAGTATAGGAGATCTGAGAACAAACAACATATTGCATTCAACTAGGTACTTGAGCTTCGCATGCGTCCATGTACGTACGAGCTTCCTCACTGGAGATTACGATGCGCCGCCTCGGGATTATAATCCATATCCAGGCGGAACTCCAGATCAACTGGGTCCACCACTCCGACGCCATTTTTGAGGTCGAGGATGATCCCCTCCTGGGCCATGAGGGAGGAGCCCAGCACGAGAGACAAGGTGTCCGACGTCCCGGGAACGCAAAAGGCCCGGACGACGATGCGTGCCCAGCGCCGGTCCGCGTTGGGCCGGCCCAGATGCTCGGGGATGAACATGTGGAACACCGCGTATTCGGTCACCTCGTGCTGGACGTCCTCCTGGTCCCAGCTATGCACCGGGAAGGGTGACTCGCAGGGACGGATCTCGGCCCCGGGGATATCGCGCGCGTGGTCGGGTCTCATGATGCTAAACGGGGCACCGGTGTCCAGGACCACCGAGCAGAGTCGCTTCGTCGTCCCCAGCCCCACCCGCGTCTTCACGTTGCTCCAGCCGGCCAGCTGCCGCGAGCAGCCCGCCCACAAGGCGTCCTCGAAGCAGAAGCTCGGCGAGATCACCAGTTTCGCCGCCGAGAGGGAACACACCGCCTCCGATTCGTAGTCGGTGGAGGAAAAGGGGATCCGGAGAGCCGGGTCATGGTCCTTCCAATCTTCCGCGGTGTGGTGGGGTGGGTGGTCCTCGTGGGTGGTACTGGTGTAGGAGTGGCTGGAATGTCTCTTCTGAGATTCCGGGTGGTGCTTCTTGGACGAATGGGTAGAGACCTTGTGATCCTTCTTGTCCTTGCTCGAATGGTGCTTGGGCCGAACCATCTTGCCATTGGTAATATCAATATACGTACCATCGAAGGGGAACATGGTGATAATGGCGTCTGTTCCGAGCTCAAAATCTTTGGAGATAAGTGGTTGTCTTGAGGAGATTCGTGCTTGACAAGGGCGCGGATATAAGCCTTTTGATCTTCATGAACCAGAGGTCTTCATGAGAGTTATATACCAATTGAGAACTATGAGGTTGCTCAGCACTGCTTCTCCGTCGCCAAAGAAGTTTGCTTGATCTTTGTATAATCGCATAATGAAGGCTCGAGGAAGCCTTGTGATGGAAGAGCGTTGTGAAGATGATTACAGACTCGCAGCAAGGAGTTGAATGAGTGAGCACACAAAGCTGCAGGTTCTAAACAAAGAGAAGGGCACTTGAAACAAATCAACGTAGGAGGTGTTCAGTGTCCCTGGGGCTGTCGAGGTTGCACCAGGCCCCTCTTTTTATCGAACTGTCTACACGGTAGGATACAGCCATACTGACTAAGCCGACTCTGCTGGGAACGTACAGTATATTAGTATCACTGTTCTGTTCCCAATGTTACTGTTACAGGAAATTATGAGAAATGTACTGTGTGCATAAAGGCGTTGTTTGATCACAAATTCAAATTATATCATGTCACTATGAACTCTGTCTCAGTCCACCCCATAGCGCCGCGGCAATGCTAGCAAGTGTCTTGGTAATCTACTGTGTTTCGATGACGCAAGAGGGAATTTAAAGAAAGTTCGCTATATTAAAATAGATGACATGCGAAGAACAAAGCAAAGAAAAAAATATTGACATTCTAGTAATCCCCAAAGTAAGCGCAGAATCACAATCTAAGTAAGAGTCACATCTAAGAGCACCAATCTAAGAGTCTAGTCCAACCGAGCCAGCATCGCTTCATGCAGAACCCTCCATACCACCGAAAAAGCGCTTGAAAATTTTCGCCGCGACAGTTTCACTCTTGGGAGTATCTTTCCGGGGAAAGAGTCCCAGCGTGTCCTCAGCAACCAGCCCCAAAAGGCACCAGGAATGCCATCTCGTGGTCTTGGGCGCACTACCGGGCCGTACTCCTGGGTAGTTATTCCAGATGAGCGGGCTGTCATCCAGCAGCTTCTTACACCGGTGGCATCTCATCACTGGGGGAGTGCCAGTTCGCGGGGTGCAAGACGCGGCCGCAGGAGTTCCGGCAGGACCATTGGAACGGGTCGGCAGACTGGATAGAACCGGACGCGAGGGGTGACTGCTCGAGCGTGTGCGGGCCGCAGTAGGGATACCGCTTGTAGAGACCGTGCGTCCAGGCGTGACGATGTTGGCATGCACGATGGGCCGGGCAGTGGCGGTGGTAGCATGAGGTGGTGGAGCGAGTTTCCTTCGGGGAAGCTGCAGTTCTCCTCGAATGTAGCTGGGCACTCGGTTGTCTGTAACATTGTCAGCCAGTCCCTGTGTATTGCCTTTGCTGGTGTACAGCGTGTCAGCCGGTTCTTGAAAGAGGTCAAGATTATCAGAGTTGATCCACTGGCTACCCATGCCTGCGAGTTAGCGAAAGTAGACTGACGGTAGTCAAAGGCTCACAAATCAGCCTGAGTTAAGAATGTGATAGATCCAAGCCCGATACTACTCAGTACTGAGAGTGCGCGATATGGGCGAAGGCTTGTTTATATAGCATGGTATGGCACTTGTTGTGATGGTGGATGGAGGAGATTGTCAGGGAAAGATAAAGGGGCGATGATATCAGAGGATCAGATAAGCCTCAGGGATCCTTTCTTCCCCTCACCTCCTCCACTTTCTCCTCTCTCTTTCATATCTTCCTCCCTCACAATCTCTTTGTCCTCTACCACAGTACTGCTCACTTCTTTGTTCTGTCGAAGATAATCTCCGATAAATCTCTCATTATGACGGTAGACGCCCCCTACGATATCCTCATTGTTGGAGGGGGGATCTTCGGTGTCAGTACGGCCTATCATTTATCGCTCCAATCGCCGCAGCCACGCATCCTCCTCCTCGATCGCAGTCCTGCGCCACCCTCTCCCGCAGCTTCTACTGATATCAACAAGATCATCCGCGCGGATTACTCCAATCCGCTCTACATGACCCTCGGATTTGAGGCCCTCGACGCCTGGAAATCCCTCCCCAGCTTCCGAGCCGCCAGAGTCCACCATCCGTCGGGATGGATCTGCATGGACGAGAAAGACAGCGACACCGCCATCCGCGTTCGCCAGAATTTCCACCGCGCCGGTCGCGATGACTGCGTCGAAAACATGACAGAGGCGGAAATCCGCGAGTCGTGGGGCGGGCTGCTCCAACAGACCGACTGCTCGCCGTTCGGGTCCTACTACTTCAACCCCTCCGCGGGCTGGGCCGATGCGGGCAAGGCGCTGCAGATCCTGACGCAGGAGGCCGTCCAGCGGGGCGTCCGGTTTCAAAATTGGCGAGGCGCGTCGCATCATGCGGGACGACACCGGCGCGCTCGGGGTGAAAACCGCCGACAGCACGGTCTACACGGCCGAGAAGATCGTTCTGGCGACCAGTGCGTGGACGAGTCAGCTCATGTCGTCCATCGAGGATGAGCTGGATCTCCCCGAGGCGGACCGGATCGAGCGACAGATCACCGCTGCAGGGGTGTGCGTGTCGCATTTCCGTCTGTCGCCGGCAGAGCACGAGCGCTACGCACAGCTGCCGGTTCTTGCTTATGGTGGACAAGGTGAGTTTATTTTCTTTTTGTTTGTCAACACCTGCGAAGCTCACTAATTGTCCAGGAGAGGTGATTCCGCCTACGGCAGATGGGATCCTCAAGTTTACGACGGCCTCCTCTTTTACCAATACCATTCGCACTGCATCTGGGCACGAGATTTCTGTGCCGGTGCCTGATCAGTTGACGGTTCCTCAGAAACTCCAGGAGGCGCACCTGAAAGAAATCCGTCCCCGACTGCCCGAGCTGCTGGACCAAGGACGTCGCCAGCCCGAGTGGTACCGCCTCTGCTGGGACGCCATCTCCCCCAGCCAACACCCGCTGATCACTCGGCATCCCGACTCACGGCTAGCCAGCCTTTATCTCGCCGTGGGAGGTTCATTCCACAGCTACAAGTTTCTCCCGACGATTGGGCAGTATGTGGTGAACGTGCTGCAAGGGGTGAGCAACGGGCCCGAGAAAGACGAGGCGTGGGCGTGGAAGACAATCCAGCCGAGCGAAAAGGGCGTGCATGAGAAATTGATTCCTACCACGGAGTATCGAGACTTGGTGTGAGGAGGTGGCGTTGGAACACAGCACAGCCGAGTGCACGGTTGGGGTAATACGAGGACGCGTGGCTGCCAATGCGGGGGATGCAATTAGCTCGATCCATTCATGCAATAGCTCACCGACTGTTAAGGATTCATTCCTTCACGTTCTGGTCAGCCTGATAAGCTTGTCAGGCGAGGTTAGTAATCCTCGTAGCCGACCGAGGAATTGTACGAGTAGCATTCTTCGGTGGGTCGAATTCAGTCCTCACTCACCGGAATGCCTTTTCCACAGCACACAAAACACAAAAGCAGCACACAACTCGGAGACAAAACAAGCTCAATAATGAGGCAGAAAACAGGCCATCTGGGAAGGTCGATGACCAATGAAAGTAGAACAACTGGACCCCGCTGGCCAGGTTTCTGTCTGTGCATGAAGCGTTGAGCCGGAATGGGCGGAGAGCCGAGGTGTCCGGCAATTCAACCTTTGCCCCCTACAAATACAGTATGCGACCCACCCGACAACCACCCTGGCGCTCTTATCCTCAACAACTTCATCATGGCATTAGGTACGTACAGCTCTCACTCGTCGATTTTATTAAAACATACTGACGGCTGCAGCAACCGCTGCCGCGATCACGGCCGCCGCGTACCTCAATGCGAAATTCCACCTGACCAAAGATCTAGCGGTGCTGCGCACTGTGCGGCAGGCAACCCGCAGCACTCAGCAAGCCCAAAGCCAGGGCCAGGTCAACCTCTGGTTCAATTTCGTTGAGACCGCTACAAAGTACCCCGGTCTGATCGCCATCTGGACGCGAGAGCGGTCATTCACCTATCGGGAGGTGCTCGCCGCGGCCGCCCGCTACGCCCAGTTCTACCGCCAGCGCGGCGTGCAACCAGGCGACCTGGTCGCATTCTACCTCCAAAACCGCGCAGAGTTCATCTTCGCGTGGCTGGGTCTGTGGAGTATCGGCGCTGCTCCGGCGGCCATCAACTACCATCTCACCGGCGATGCGCTGGTGCACAGCCTGGCCCTCAGCGGCGCGAAGCTCCTGCTGGTGGATCCGGACGCGGAATGCCAGGCGCGGATTGACGAACGACGAGCCACTTTGGAGACCGAACTGGGCTTGACCCTGATCACTCTGGATGACACCTTCACCACCACCGTCCTCCCAACTCTGCCGGCAGAAGTCCCGGAAGACGGTCAGCTGGCGCGGAACACCACAGGCAACTCGCCGGCCATCCTGCTCTACACCTCCGGCACGACGGGACTCCCGAAGGGCTGTCCCTTCCGGATGGAGCGACTGCACGTCGCCGTGGGGCTGCGGGCGTACTCGACGCGCGACCAGGTCGGCCCCGGCGGCGACCGGTGGTACAGCGCGATGCCGCTGTACCACGGCACGTCAGCGGTGGCGCTGATCGTGGCGCTGGTGCGCGGGACGAGCATCGCGATCGCGCCGCGCTTCAGCGTGCGCAGCTTCTGGCGCGACGTGCGCGACGCCCAGGCGACGGTCTTCGTGTACGTCGGCGAGACCGCCCGGTACCTGCTGGCGGCGCCGCCCTCGCCGCTGGACCGCGCGCACCGCGTGCGCATGATGTACGGCAACGGCTTGCGGCCGGACGTGTGGACGCGCTTCCAAGAGCGGTTCGGCATCGCCGAGGTGGGCGAGTTCTTCAACAGCACCGAGGGCGTCTTCAGCCTGTACAACTACAACCGGGGGCCCTTCACCGCCAGCGCCGTCGGCCACCACGGCGCCCTGTCCCGGTGGCTTATGCGCGGCGTCTACGCCCCGGTCGCCATCGACCCGCACACCGGGGATGTCCAGCGCGACCCGGCCACCGGGTTCGCGGTGCGCCAGCCCTACGAGGTCGGCGGCGAGATGCTCGTGCGCGTGCCCGCCGAGTCGGCCTTTCCGGGCTACTGGCGCAACCAGGAGGCCACGGACAAGAAGTTCCTGCGCGATGTGTTCCAGCCGGGGGATCTGTGGTATCGGTCCGGAGATGCCTTGCGACGGGACGCCGACGGCCGGTGGTATTTCCTCGACCGCTTGGGCGATACCTTCCGATGGAAGAGTGAGAATGTGTAAGCTCCCCCAACTTGAATCGGACCAAGCCTGATATCCAACCCGCCCAAACCAAACTTTCCCCTGAAACTCAAGCTGACCGATGGCAACAGCTCCACCGCCGAAGTCTCTCACGCCCTAGGCGAATATCCCGGGATCCAGGAAGCCAACGTCTACGGCGTCGTGGTGCCGTCGCACGACGGTCGCGCCGGCTGCGCCGCACTGCAACTGAGCCCCGAGGCAGCCGCCAATGGAGCCTTGGATCTCACGGCGCTGGCGCAGTTCGCGCGCGCCCGTCTCCCGCGCTACGCGGTTCCGGTCTTCCTGCGGCTGGTGACGCAAACCCTGCATATCCACAACCACAAACAGAATAAAGTCCCCTTGCGCGAGGAAGGGGTCGAGCCGGCGAAATTGGGGACTCAGGTGGCGGGCGGCCAGAGTGATCAATTGTATTGGTTGCCGCCTGGGGCCGAGGGATATGTGCCCTTTGGTTCGACGGATTGGAAGCGGATAGTCGCGGGTGAAGCGAAACTGTGAGGGGAGCAGGGAATAGATATCTGAAAGTGGTTGCTTTCCCACAGGTTGTTCGCGTAGAGCTGTACGTAGCTTGAGATTAGCCGGGCCGGTGAGCATTACATCTAGAGCAGGAGGACCTTGTTGATGTTTTCAACTTCTTCCCTTGGTCAACCATTCCAGAGTCGGAGGCTAGGCCTCAGCATGCGATGCCCTTGTCTTCAGAGATCTAGCCGCGCAGAATGAGTAGCTGACGGTTGAGATTGCGTGTCGGATTTAGAGACACCTCTTTGTCATCTCATGCAATCATTTTCATGATCCAAGCCATTAGGTAGGCTAGAGTCTTGGGCATACGTTCTGCATGCCCCCAATTCTTTAGAGCGACTCTCCGCTGTCTGGTTCTTTTCGGCCTTACTACCCTGGAAATCTTATCCATGGACCTCCACTATCCGTCATCCACCCTGAAGGGGTTGGGATTCGTTTCTTCCGCTACGGAGTCAGCATGTGAAAGGGGAGGGGGAGGGCTAATCTGCAGGTTGATGGGTTATAAATCACCGCCCATTTTTCTCTCCGTTCGGTCCCAACATCTTTGCGACTTGAAATATGAACCTCTATACATAGAATATACCCTAAATTAGCTTATCATTCGCATAAGTCTCTTACTATCAACAACAATAGATGATACCAAGTCAGCGCTTGTCTGTATAGGCTTTAGGGCTAGGGCAAAGCGTAGCTCTGGGGAACCGCAGGGAAAGGAGCCCTAAGGACGAAAATAGGTTGATCAACAAAAGACCCGAGAGCTTTATGAGACAAATAAATTGATATTAGATTGATTAGGCACAGCCAGAGGAGAATTCTTCATTCTGTCACTAGAACCGCGTGCGGCCTGTTATTAGCCGCGGTTCGTGCTGGACCGACTCCAACTTCGCACCAAAGAACTAGTCTCAGACACCATTCCCAAATTCAAACTAATAGCGTGAATCATCAGAGCAAACACTTGAAAAACTATGAAAAGATATGAAATATGACAGTCATAATCATCGTATCCATCGTTAGCATGCGCGTCATACCATTCCCGATAAAACTGAAACCGTCCATTGGATCTGCCCCAGATATCTATCGCTGAGCCCAGAGACTTCCTTGCTAGATGTTAAATGCTCAGGCACGCGGGACTTCCTCGGCTCAACGAGGGGGGAAGGGATCTCAGCCCCGTCCAGGGCAGAGAACATGTCTCGGTCGACCGGTGCCATAGGCGTCGTCATAGCATGTCTTGCCGTCTCCTCCTCCACTCTGCAAAGAGCACTGTAATAGAAAAGTCGAGTCAGATTGCAAGCTCAGTGCCGGGCACCTTTGTCAGTGCTTACCTTGCCGACATTACAGCGACTGGATACCAAATCGAAGTCAGTGACTGAGGACTTAGACGCAACCAGAGATCGCGTAGGCGATGACTTACTAGTTTGTGAATCCGATTCTGCAACTCAGCCCATTGCATTTCTGGTGTCCGAAGGTCACCACCATCGGTTAGCTTTGAGTGAGTCTCAGAGGACATGGAAGGGGGGACAGGGCACAAGAACGTGAACGGAAGATGCCATACACCGCAGTTAATATGATCCACCGCACTGCAACTGATGTTTGGATCGTAATGGATTGCCTGGTGGTCTTGTCCGGCTTCAACATCTGATGTTGCAGCATCAAGAGGGGGAGGGGCCGCGAGCGCCAGGCTAACGAAGAAAGTGATAGTAATGCAAATGATCTTCATTATTGAGATGGGGATACCCGCAAGTGTAGCTTTGATTTTGTTCCTGTGCTGGAGGTCGTTAGAAGAAGTGAATCTTGTCGAGGACTCCGGTTTCCCAGCTTCGTCTGGGGAAGAAGGCCTCCTTTATACTCCACCATCGCTCTCTTGCTCGGACCTCGCAACTCCTTGACGGACTATATCCATCCCCCCGAATTCCCCGAATGATGTTGTGTTGGATCTCCTCTTTCAGGGCTAAAATCAAAGCGCAGCCAGGCTTGGAGCCCGTGATGCCGCACTCACTCCACGGGATGTACATGGTATTTTGTTGTGCATTTCCAGACAGCCACTTTTCTGGCGTCTCCTTGTAAGTTCAATCATTCGACTACTGGAGCCATGACAGTGTGCCAGGGGTAAAGCTCGGCGTGGATTGTAGACGGTCAGACGGCTATTTCTGAAAGGATTCTTTGCGTGCATGTAATGTTTTCCAGCGATATTGGCAACATTGAGGCTCTAATTTATGCATCAAATTAGGTATATTGACTTTAGTGATTTTGCATCATATACCGGGGCATGAATATACATATTTGACACTTACGATTCCAGGTGAGCGCACGTCCAAGGGCTAAGTAATCTCTAGTAGACCCAATATTACGACTCCATCTTGATATTCCGCAGGGTAACTTGTGACATGGCTCGAGCGAAGCATAATTTTTTCTTGGAGGATAAGCACAGAAGGCTTCGAGCAAGGACTACTAAGTGTCCGAGTCAGGTCTTACAGCAATGCCCTCTTCTAATTAAACAATAGGTAGAACAGAAAAGAAACTGAGCTTATCCGTGCACACAGATATTCTGGAAGTAGACATATATCCTCGAGTGCAAACAATTCATGTCGCACAGCTGTCACAGTCTGATTCGTTCACTAGACTGGGACTGTGGGGTGCATGCGTGCCCGGTTCGGGCTAAAATACCAGTATGCTCATGTGCGTTCGTTTCAATGTCAACGACCGTTATCCTCCAGCTTTCTCCAGGTGATCTATGAGGGATCAGCTTTTGGGCGACCAGCAACAGTAGACTTCAAGTGAATGCCTGTTGTTGTTTTCAGAGCCCGTTGCATCGTTTACTGGTTGTCTCGACTATCGGAGCCCACACCTGCCGAGCTGATTTTGGGGGGCAGAGCAAGCACCGGTCTTGAAGGAACTTATCATCTGCCAGTAGAACACTAGTAAGCGAAGAGTATGCGGGGTTTGTTGACTGTTTTGGCAGTAATTACCGTTACAGTCTGTTTGCAAATGTCTATGTACAGTACATATGCAGGGCAGTGGGCCGCTTGTCCCCGCTGGCTACTGTGAACATAAACGCATTGATTGTATAAGGCATTGATTGTATTAAAACTAAGAGAGCTCTGAATAGTGAAAATAAATCTAGTATCAATTTCAGTGCTTGCAGGTCAGTTGGGTCTTGCTAGCGTGCTGGGCAAGCGAGTTGCTTTTACTGGAACAAGCAAACCAGCAAGCGGGAGAGGAAAGGAAAAGAAAGCAAATCCAAAGAAAAGATAAGAACCGCATGACCAGCCATGTCTTCTAGTTCTCTGAAAGAGTATCTTGTACATATGTTGAGTTCTGGCCTGCTTTCTTACCGTGGCTGCAGTCTAGGCTCTGCCAGGTGGCGTGCAGGATCGACGGAATGCGGCTCTTGCTTCCGGTTTAGGCAAGAGACCCTTAACTGAACGTGGGCCTTACTTACTAACCTGCCGCCAGAGTCGCTTCAGAAGGTTCAGATTTCTGTACATGGACAGGTGTATTGGTTGTGAGGTTGTAGTAGAAATGCTGACGGACGGAGATTGCCCTTGCATCCTAGAGGCTGGAGGCCTCAGACGCGCCACCCCCGGCACCTCCAATATTCACCAGGGACAATAAAGCATTTCTCTATCACTCATATTGATGATCCAAGCAGCAATTAGGAGATTAACCCCGGAACGTAATCATGAGGATGTTCAAGGCTGGCCAGCCAAGCCCGAAGCCTACTGAATCGACGAGGAGCTCCAACGCTATTGATGTATGGCCGCTGGGTTGGCGCTCTTTCCCCTCATCTTTTTGCTTCTCAATCATGTCAAGGTGCTGTGTATGTCCAAGGAATATATGGAATTGGGAATTCTTTTTTTCCCATTTTTTATCAATGATAATCTCATTGTATTCATGGCTATGGTATGCATATACATCACTCCATCAAGACCATCAATGTCGCATAAGATAAACCACATACAGCCTAATCAGTAAACATACCTGAACCTCTCATTCTTCAAATCCGTCACATCCATCAACTCGTCATCTCCCTCTCCCTCCTGCTCCCCACTCTCTGTACCCCCCATAACCCTATCCCGTCTCGCATTCTCCCCCCTCAAATACACCACCAACCCCCCCAGCACCACAACCACCACCGCCAAACACACGAAGATCGCCACGAATCCGCTCTGTTGCATTTGCCCCTAATCAGCCCATATTCTGCACTAACAAGCAGTTTCAACCCCCACGAAACCAGAGAACCTCACTACAGATACACAGATACAAGGGAAGGGGGATTGGGGGAAGCAAAACAAACCTGATAAACCGGCGCCTGCCACTCAAAAAACAGCTGCGGCCCGATGATGTTCCCCGCGCAGTACAGGATGAAGTAGATGGCGCTGACGGTGCTGCGCTTGGTCACGCCGCCGACGTTGGCGCTGATCAACGCCATGGAGAGGGGCATGGTGACCGCGTAGAAGCTCATGAGGATCAGGCCGACGTAGCGCGAGGCGTTGTGGTGCGTGGCGTAGACGAGGGCGGTGCCTAGGATGCTTTGGGGGTTCAGCTTGAGGGGAATGAGGATGGGGCGGCAAGGGGATTGGTGGGCAGCCGTACCTCGAGCACGATAGGATGATCGAGACTGTGCAGCGGCTGTTGGGGATTTTGGAGGAGGCGTAGCACCTTTCTCTTGTTAGATATCTGAGGCTGTGGGGTATTGGCATGGGTGGGCGGGGACGGGGGCTTACGAGGCTAGCACCACGAGGAACGAGATGAATCCTCCCGGGATCCCGAGGAGGAGGGTGTTTAGGGTGTTGTATCCGAAGCCCTTGAGGATGAGGCCTGAGAACTACCACCCAAAGCAGATTAGTAGCTGGAGAAGGTTTCAGGTCCTCTGAGGCTGGGAGAGAGAGTATACCGTGGTGTATCCCCCGTTCGGGATATTGCAGCCTAGGATCAAAACCCCCAGGAACCACGTCTTGGGATCGGTGAACGCCTCCACCATCTGACTCTTGTCAATCTGATTCGTCTTGTATCCGGCGCGGTTCGACTTCAAGCGCGCAATGGCGATGACTCGCTCCTCCGGGGTGAGGAACGTGGCGTTCGTCGGCGAGTCCGGGAGGCGGAAGAGCATGACTACGCCCCAGGTGAAGGTGACCAGGCCGAAGATGATGTAGAGCCACTGAGTGTGGTTACACGGGTCAGTAGGCTGGGATAAGTTCGCGGGGAAAGAGGGATGCTCACCTTCCAAGTAGCCAGACTGGTCTCAATCTGCCAGATCCCCACAGCGATTGCACCCCCGATGATCAGGGACAGCGAGTTCCCGCAGAACCAGATTCCGTGGCGCAGGGGCTGCTCGGCGGTGCGATACCACAGCGAGGTCAGGAGGCTGAACCCGGGCGAGACGCTGGCTTCGGTGCAGCCCAGGAAGAACCGGGCCACCATCAGTCCGGTGAAGTTGGTCGTGGCCGCGTGGCAGGCGAGCACGATCGCCCAGACGATGCTGTTATCCCCGCGTAAGCTATGTGCCACCCCCCACGGGGCTCTGAAGAAGTGAAAACATACTAAGTGCAGGCCAGGTACTTCCCCAATGGAAAGCGAACCATCAGCAACGAGGCCGGATAGCTTGAGCTCGTCAGTACTTTCCTAGCACTCAAAACTCATCCCAGAGCTCAGACCAACCTAAAAGCAAGATATCCAAAGTAGAAAATGGCCGAAGACCAACTATACTCCGCCCCCGTGAGGCGCAGATCCTCCATGATGCCCATGATGGCGGCATAGCTCAGGGTCTGTTTGTCCATGAAGGACATCATGTACGCGACGAGCATGATAGGTAGGATCCTGGACCCGCGTCAGCATCAGCATTACTCCAGCCCTCTTCCACCCTTCTAGTTTCAGGAGACTAAGAGAAAAAACATACATCAAATCAATCTTCCTCACCAACTTCCTCTCCGCCTCCGCAGAGAACTCCGTCGACGAGCCATGCTCCACGCTCGCGCGGTCCTCGAGCTCCTTTCCCGCCTCGAGAGGGGGTTTCTTCTCGTCTGCGGGGGGTGTCATTTTCTGCATCAAGATCAGTAGAAACCAACTTTACATCGAGGAACAGTCGACCTAGTTCGCAAAAGTAAAGGGCTGGAGGAGCTGTCTCCCACCCAGAACAACCGCATCAGGGCAGCCTCTCTTATAATTACCGCAAAACCTATCTAATAATCTTTGCCACAAATACCAAGACCCAGCACACGTATTCCAGCGTCAATAAACCCCCTTCCTTCTCCTCTTCTCGCTGCCTCAGGACCCCGTGATAACCATTCCAGCAATCCATACTCACTATCATCCCAGCGTAAGCGTCCCCCTGCAATTGGCTGCGTCGGCAACGCTACTAGCGCAGCCTATACCCTAACCTCAACTCCTTCTTCCCGTGCCGAGATAAACGGCAAAGCTGCAGTGCCCCTCGCCTAGACTAGATCTCGGCTGGGTTTTCCCCAGGTTTCGTTTCTGCGGTATTGTGGGTCATCCATTTGTGTAGGCTTATCTTGGTCATGAGAAGTCTGGATTTTTTTAAAGTCTGAGCTGATAAACTCTTCCGCTTGCATACATAGTGTTTGATTTGTTGCGTGTGACTTTACAGGTGGAGGTTAGCCCTTCAACGTATAAAAAGGTTATCTTGTATCGCGGTTACCGAGGTACGATCTGTGGTAGGCAACACACTGGTCGGGGATGATGCGTAGGTGGATTGGGGAGGAGGGGAATGCCTGAGGGCGCTCTTATCGCCGATTTCCTATCGCTGCGTGCGGGAGATATGATACTGAGCCTATTGAGGGATTTGTTCATGCAGTACAGTTATGGGGGAGGGTGTGGTGGGTGGCAGGTTCACCGACTGTAGGGCTTGGCTGACGATACTGTGCCCTTGGTTATCGCCCATGGCTATCTGCTCTACCGGTTTAGGTCTGTAGAGAAACATGGAGTTTAACTGATGGCTACGCAAATCTGTAGCCCATTGCACTAAGTGTGATCTTGCTCGTTACATCTAACAATCATGCTCGCTAAATCATGCTACCCTAGTAGGCTGCCACCATCTGATCCTTGACATACAAATCGACGTACTTGTCCACGTCGTAATTCTCGAGAGCCGCCTGGTCCAACCCGACCTTGACCAGTTCGTCGATGCGAGCCTGGTCGAAGTGCGCCTGCAGGTGACGCTTGTACTTGGCCAAGATCTCGGGCTTGGCCTCTTCCCGACGCAGCCGGTGGCCCAGAGGCGCCTCGACGACGACCTCGTCCAGGACAGTGCCATCGTTCAACGTGACGGTCAGGGCGTTGGCGATGGTCCGCTTGGACGGGTCGTGGTAGTCGGCGGTGAACTGAGGGTCCTCGACACAGCGGATGCGCTTGCGCAGGTCCTCGACCAGGGGAGAGGTGGCCGCCTCAGAGCCATCCGCATAGTCGTTCGCAGTCAGGCGGTTGAAGGCCAACATGGTGGAAACCATGTACTAAATGCAGTCAGTACACGGCCAATAGCAGCGCCCTAGGCTTGCTTACCTGAACGCAGTGGTCGCGGTCAGCAAAGTTGTCCATCGCCTTGAACTGCTTGTCGATAATCCGGATGCACGCCTCATGCGTGCGGTTGACGACCTCCTTGATGTCCTTGGCGCTCTTGCCCAGAGCCTTGAGCTTCGCGTTCACAATCTCCGCAGCCTCAATCGCCGTCTGGGAGTGGAACTCAGCTAGAAACCAGTCAGCATAGCCCTCCGCCATCGACTAGGCACGACTTACCAGGATAAGACACCTTGAACAGAACATTCTCCATTACATAGCTGCCGTAAGGGCGCTGGAACTCGAACTTCTTGCTCTTGAACAAGACGTCATAGAAACCCCAGACCGGGGCCGACAGAACCGTCTTCAAGCCACCCTCGCCCTTCTGCACCTTGAGCACCAGGTTCACCGCCCGTTGGCAGGCATCACCCGCGGCCCAGGACTTCCGCGACATGGTGTTGGGGGAGTGTCTGTACGTGCGGAGCGACTGGCCATCCACAAACGCCTGGGTGATGGCGTCGGCGGTCTTCTCCTCACTGAGGCCGAGCATCTTGGCGACCACGGCGGTGGTCGCGACCTTGACCAGCACCACGTGGTCCAACCCGACCTTGTTGAAGGAATTCTCGAGAGCCAGCACACCCTGGATTTCGTGCGCCTTGATCATCGCCTCCAACACATCCTTGACCTTCAGGATCTTGCCGTCGGCGAGGTTGCCGCCGGCGCGGTTCGTGCGGGAGATCCAGTCCGCGACCGCCAGGATGCCACCCAGGTTGTCGGACGGGTGGCCCCATTCCGCCGCCAGCCAGCAGTCGTTGTAGTCAAGCCAGCGGATGATAGCACCGATGTTGAAGGCCCCGTTGACGGGGTCCAACTGGTAGGGGGTGCCGGGAACGCGGGTGCCATTGGGCACGATGGTGCCCTCAACCACCGGGCCCAGCAGCTTGGTGCACTCCTTGAACTTTAAAGCTTCCAGACCACATCCCAGAGTATCGAGGAAGACGAGGCGGGCAGTATCATACTGTGAAGATGGGAGCAGTTAGCGACGCAGCTTCGTATTGGAGAATAGCAACAGTTGTGGATGGTGGAATGGGGAGCCCCGCGTAACTTACCGCCAAGTCGGAATCCACCTTGTAGTTATGGATGTAGTTGCTCAGCTCCTGGATTTCGGGGTCATAGGGCCGGTCGGTGGGAATGGTCGGAGGAGCCTGCTGCAGGGATGCCATGGTTGAGAAACGAGAGGTACGGGGGAGTGTCGATAGTTGTGTTTTGGAGGTGATGTGGGAGACACTGGAGACAACAGGTCTCGAGGGGGAGGCGATGCGGGAAGAGGAGAGCCAAGTGCGGGGAGGAGACCTGTGGGTCAGCCGTCTCAACGCTGAACAGGAGGCAGACATGATGGGAGAGAAGGCGATTGAAGAGAGAGGATGGGGACAATAAGATACCCAATGGAGTGCACAATGAGCGTGAGCTAAGTAGGTAGCGGACCACTGGAGGAGGAGAAGAAGGGAGGAGGAAGAAGACGGAGAATTGAACAGAAATCAAGAAAGGGAGAGCCTGTCCTGGCTGGTTACAGTGAGTATACTCAGCAAGGTAACTAACGTACCCTTGTACCCTTCCTTCCCTTTACCGCCGGGCATTCGGACCGAGGCCGCTTTGCTGCTTTGTTGCTTTGTTTATGGGGGCGGCTATCACCGGCTGTCCGAGCGCTGCCCACTTTGCCCGCTTTGCCCGCTTTTTCCACCTCGGCCTGCGTGTGCATCTCATGTCTACGGAGTATGTCTTATTTTTGGGGTCATTCTTGACCGAATTCCACTGAATTTGAGTCAATTCTCTGATCTTTGTCCTTATAGACTGCGAAAAAAAAATATCTGGTATCTCCCATTCAAATAGACCCAGAATTGAGGAAAGACAACCGTTTACAGTAGGCATCATGTGATGTTCTTTCCCCTCACTCCGTAGACTCCACCTGGCCCCATCTGTCGTCCCCATCGCGGGAAGCCATACACAACAAGCAAGCCTAGCCTATTTCAGTGTAAACCGACCCAGCCTCCCCAAGATCCGCCACAGAAGCGTCACCATCTTCTTCTTCATCTTCTTCTTTCGCTTCTGCGTCTGTTTCGTCGTCCACCACCTCCTCCATGCTGTTCATTTTGACAGACTGCTCTCCGCTCACAACAGGTTCCTTGTCACCGCCTAGTTCCTTCTGGAGATACGCGACACAGGTCTGGATCTCGTTGATTGTCCCGATGGTTGCCTCCATATACGCGTCGTGATCTTTCTGTCTCTGTTCAAGCGCCCTCGCATACTCCTCGTGGCGTTTCTCGGCCTCCATGGAAGATGCAAGGTATGTGCCAAAATGCTTTCTGGTCTGCATGAAAGAGTCACAGAGTTTGGATAAGAGCTGTTTATGTGGAGTGGTCCGGCGACGCTTGCAATGGTTTCGGACGGCTTCCTCTACTTGAAGTATGTTGGGGGGGCTGTTGATGCTAGGTATGCTGGCCGGGTCCTTCAAGTTTTCTGCATCAGCATGCTTGATTTTCCCTTTGCCTTTGCCTGTCGTTTGAATGCTAGGCGCCGGGGTAGTCTGTTTGGTAGAGGAATCGGACGCTCTTGGAGGACTGAAGAAGTCGTTCGGGCTACTGGCCGTTGAAGTATCCTTAGGTGTGGCGGGCAGCGTGCTGGCCTCGGAGCGAGGTCGCTTAGCTGGGCGGGTAAGGCCGGTAAGAGCAGTCGTGGCGTTCGTTGTAGAGGAAGAGCTCTGGCGGTTGACAAGCTTGTCCGACTCCGAAGACTCTGTGCAGGTGAGACGCGGGCTCAGCTGTGCGAATGGCAATATCTCGTAGGTATCGGGCTTCTTGTACTGCAGCACCATGTCGTCCAGGCATACGGTCCAGCGGTCCGTTTCCGCTATGTCGAGCTGCTTTGGAGTACCAGAGTCGGCGGTAGTCACAGGTCTGTGGCGCGGTAGCTTGACGATGAAAGTGCGAGGTGGACGCATGCTTGGGGGCGGCAGTACTGGCCCGGCGATGATCGATTTGAACTGATATTTGTTGCCCGCTGCGTCACGTTGGCGCTGGAGTAGCCAGGCGCAGTGCTTTCTCCCTTCCTCTCCGCATAGCACATAGTACCCCTTGAAAATAGGATACGCAAAGACTCCATGGGCTGAGATCAAAAACGTTGGACCACAGGGCACCCTGCTTTGTCGGACCATGCCACTACCGTCAAAGTCGGCGGGATACTTGTCATGGCGCTCAGTGGTAGAGAGAAGTTTGATCGCAAGGTAGACCCAGGCGTCGGGCAGGCGAACCCCGTAGGGGGGCCATCCCTTCTGCGCCGGATCCCAGAACGTCGACACCAGTGGCCAGGCACTCCAGATCTCCAGCTGGTCTTGTTTTTTGATCTTGCTTTGATTTTTGCCTATGGGTAGGCTAGGCTTGGGGGGTCTGGGGTCTCCGAGTTGCCAGGTGCTTCTAGCTGATCGGTAAGTGGAACAGAGCCTTTGGCAAAGAGTCGCAAGTTCCTGCAACTGGATCTTGAAGGCAGGTGTGGCTTCAATACTTGGTTCAGCAATGTCTTCATCATCCTTCATTTGTGTTATGCTTCGACGAGCCACCCGCTTTGATTGGGCCATGGTGACTAGCGTGCCTTGCACTGTGGTCACGGGATCTGCACTGTTCAATACATTGGTGAAGCAGCCATCACTTGGATAAAGAAGCGTAGAAGCGTTTGAAGGAATTGGCTGGAAGAACAGACCGTAAGAAATTGAAGGCAAAGGTAAAAGGCCTTCGGGAGGCGAGGAAAAGTGAGTTGGTGTCTTGGAAAAACTATTTCGAGTGACACGGAATATGACACAGACCACGGGCAGGGAGAGAGAAAGTAGACGGAGATTGAGAAGCAGACCACCAAGTCAGTGTTGAAAGACGGCCTGGCTTGCCTTCCCGCTTTGCCTGCTGAGACTGAAACTGAAGAATATTCACCCACCTCCATCAATCCGTAATCATGTGCCTAGCCTTCGTTGAAATTCATGGGCATGGGTCAAGAATTTTGGAGATTCTTCTTTCTTGTCTCATACTAACCCAGGAATATTCGCCGCTGAGCTGTAGAAAGCGGCCCTCTGCATATTAGTATAGTTGTTGCGTTGGTTATAAGATCCCTACGCAAGTACCTGACTTCGGCAGGTAACAGCCGTCATCCTGCAAGTACGAGATGCTCACTTCGTCCGTTAATCAGCTTACTCCCCTGGTAAAATTGGTCTATTTACTGCTTCTAAACACCTCTTCAAGCATGTTTTTCAACTGTCTTCTCAAGTATGGTAGCAAATCATGTTTTAAGCACCTCATCGAATGAGTAACTCAGCGATATAAACTGCATATACTTCTCTTACCTTTCTGAACAAGTTAGGCACTGCTCTAGACCCCTCTTTATGTCTAAGGTCCTCTCTAATCAGCTTTCTAAGTGTCTCAGTGGTAGTGAGTTGTATGCTAAGTCATACCCTTAATAATTATTACTTGCAATAGACCACATACAGATCAACCTCATGTTTGATATTAATCATTATATAGAGTCTACGTAAGAAGCTCGAAAGACAGTTACTAAGATCAATACTTGGAATCTTGCCATTTAAATTACTTGGAAACTTGCTAAAAGAGGCGCCTTGGAAATGTGCCCAAATATGATGATGTGCTTGGAGAGACGTCTTACTATCTTGATTGCTTGAAATATGCTTGAATCTCTTATCAAGCTTCGGAAATTCGACGTGAAAGGTACTTGATGAGGGAACTCGCTGCTACAGAATGGCAGTAGCTGTTATCCGCCATAACTGACGTGCTGTACGGTCTTCTTCGTTTTCTTGGAAGCGCTAGTGTTGCTTTGGGCTTGTCGATAGGGCCTGCAACAAGATTGGCTGAGTGAGTGGCTGTCGGTTCTCTATGGGCTTGTAATACAAAGGGTTCGAAGAGGGCATCACATCTTAAACTTGGATGGTTAGTTTAGACCTGTGATACTGAGCGTATAATCCCGCTTGTATCTCTGAGGGGGTAGTTTTGTTGAACTCGTTGATGAGGGTCGCAGTGAAAGCGGGTTGATGTCTAGCTTTGATATAGAACTCCGTCGTGATTATACACATGCATTACTCAAGAAGTGGTTCTTGAGAGTCTTTTTACACAAAAGTTCAAAGACAATACTACTTACTAAGCTTAAATGGTCATTCTGGAACGATAAGACTGTAATAAACAAAACTTGACTCCCATAAAACCTATGGCCGTGCCTTGGGAAAGGCTATCGTAGAAAGAAGAACTGTTCACATGCATTTCCAAGCATCCTGAATCTCATCAACTCGTTTCCACCACCACCACCACCACCACCACCACCACCACGCCGTAACCTGAACATTGGAACATTTCTGGTAATCCGGTTCCCAGCAAAGGCTAGCTTCACCGGAGCTCCAAGTAACTATTTGACGAAAGCGAAGGTCTGTATCTCAAAATGTCCAACCAAGCAGTTTAATGGCTACGCGTGCTAGACTATGTATATCAAACAAAGCGACCAGGATATAACAGATCAGACCAAACCTCATTTTACATTCGCAACCCTTTGACTACCAAGGCCCATGCCTCAACTCCTTCTCATCGGTTCGATGAAGCGACCTGACAATTTCTTCATAGAGCGCCTGCGCGAGCTTCGGGGGAACCGCATTGCCAATTTGCTTTCGGACGTGCGGGGCACAGAAGTGATATCGATGCGGAAACGTCTGCAAGCATGCATACTCCCTGTTCGTGAAACTACGCCGTCCTGAAGGGTGGGCAATCATTTCGCCTCCACCACAGGTGATCGTTCGGATTTGTCCTCTGCCATCGCACGGTGCCCGGTTCATCGGACGAGCTGCTGCTCGCTGGGTATTATGGTGCGGCGCTCCCGGCCGAATTTCAGAGATGGTCTGTCTTATAGTAACATAGGGATGGCGCCCAGAGCCCGGGGGTCCGTGAGTCGGCTTGGGAAACTGAGGAAGTGATTCTCCTGGTCTTTTAAGATTGCCTTGTTAGCATCCCTCCTTCGAAAGCTTCTCAGGCCACTTACCCTGATGCAAGAATAACCAATCTTCGACGTAGCTGAGGTACACCGTATTCGACGCAGTTGAGAATGCCCCAGCGCACTGCGTATCCAAGCTCGATGAAGTCTAGAATCACTCGGTTGAATGTCTCCCTGTGACGCTCAAACAAGCCACTCGTCTCTTCCATGGTAAGAATCCTGGGCTTCGACTTCTGAAGCAAGTTCAAACACGAGAAAATGCACGCACTATTAGCGTCATCGGTCACGGATTCGATCGTATGCGCGGGTGAGAACGTCTGGCACGGTGGAGATCCATGGACAATGTCTACCTGAGTGGAGTGCTTTGACTGGATGAAGGTGAAAAGATCCATAATCCTGACGTTCGCATCTGGATAGTTGCGTTTGTAAGTCATGACAGCGGACTCGGATTTGTCGCAGGCCCATTCGGGGTGCAAAAGAGCGGCACGAGCACCGCAGGTAACGCCGCCAGCACCACAGAATGCATCGCCAAATGTATACTGACGACTTCGCTTCATTGCACGAACTGGATCGTGTCTTGTTTGGCGAGGCATGTCATCTTCGAGGTCCACGACTTCGCCAGGGTCGAACGCTCCAAAAGGCCTGGTCTCACCACGCCACGCACGGCGGAGCTTCGGCGGATCGAATTTAAATCCTTCGTCTGCTTCATCCCAGGTAAGGTATTCCACTGAAGATGGCTTCTTGTCCCCGTAATGCTCTTTGAGTCGACAGAATAGCTCTTTGGGTTGTTGGTGGTGCTTGATCCAATCTTTCTTGATCATGCAGAAGTTCGTGAACGTAATGCGGACAAACTTCCTGACTTGGTGGGAGGGAATGTCTATTGTCTCATTCGCGATCCAGACAAGCTCATTATCCCACCTCGGTATGTATTTCCCGCTGTGATTTTTTGTGTGTATCAGGCGTCTTCCCCGAAAGAAGATATCGGCAGAACGATCTGCCACAACTTCTTCAATTCTGAGAAAGGTACCATCGTGAAGCTGAACAGATTGGCCCTTCTTGTACACAATTCCATTGAGGTACGCCTCAGGCAGCCGGCGTTTCTCTGGCCTTGTGATTAGACGGGATCGTACTGGGGAAGTTTGAGGTTCAGCACGATTCAATGTTCGCAGCAACTGGTCGTAGGCTTCATCGGTCAGGTAGTCCCCGGGAGCAAAACCATCCGAAGTGAGGTCGATGACCTCGCGCTCTTCGTTTGGAAGTGTGGGATTTGTACTGCCGGGTGAGTCTTGTAGGACTTCCTGCGCGAGATCCAGAGAGACTGCTCTTTCAGATTCATCTTCAAGCGTAACACTACTTTCATCTGAATCGTAGTCATTTGCTGTCTGGTAGACGATCGACCACTGCTCAATACGGCTTCTGGAGCTGAAGTTGAACATGATACCAAACCAGAGCGAGCGGAACGATGCAACGAGTCAAAGTGATGAGTTGGAAGTATCCATACGAAGAGAACAAATTGAGTTCAGACTGAAGACGCTGTAGGACGAAGCCAACGAAGTCAATGCAGGTGCAGAGTGGGATGCAGAGGAAGGTAGAGATCTTCTGGGGTGCAGAACTTGATATTGACTAAAGCATTTGAAAAAGTTTGCAGAAGGAAGAAGAGAAACACAGAGAACTTAAACTCCAGCAGCCATCTGAGATGCAACACAAAGAAAGGAGAGTCAGGCTTGAGCCGATTATGATTACCTAGTCGGTGCATTTGGGGCATCACCGCAGTGAATCGTTGCCAGAGGACAGACAAAGGCTGGAATGTGACCGACATGGAATTGAACATGGAGTGATTCTGGCCGCAACTCTGTTCAGTTTTACTTTCTTTCATAAACAAGCCTAGAAGTGTGGAGTAAAAATCAATAGCAATCTGAACTGTGCTTGAAGATGTATAGACTTCCCAAAACAGTAAAGAGTTAGCGAGACGGGAGGAGAACTACGGCACCAATCGCTTATCTCTATCAGGCTTAGACCAGCCTCTACGGCAGTCGCTGCCTTAGGCCATGCCGAAGCCGGGAACGAACTCCCGGCTGCTGACCGCCTGCTCCGGCATCGGCAATATTACTGCCCGCGCTGCCAGAAAGCAAGGTACCGTATGTAAGCAGCCGGCCAGCCGGTGGCCCTGGCGGTGTTACTCAGTAAATTTAGTAAACTTAGTAAAATTGGGTCACGAAATTTTTCCGCTTGGGTTTAGCGCCTCCTATCGGTTGGTGGTGGGGAAAAAGAAAATTGGGAACAGCGAGGAAAAGAAATCTATTAAGATGGGATCCCCATTTCTTCCCCTCCTCTCCTCTTTCCCTCCTAAAACTTCTTTAACCATGTTATCCAGCTCACTGTTTCCTCCGTGGACGTGATTCTGGGCATTGTTGCCACCTGTTTCTCCCCTTACTCTCCTTTACATGAATCCTGTTATGTCTCTATAGACGTTTCCGATTCTATCCCACTTTTTTCTGCAACTTGCCAAGTTCCGGTTTCTACCACCCTACCATCACACTGTGCGTGTACTCCAAGACTATCTCGAAATATCCCCTTTCAGATGTGAGTCAATCATTCAATCCTTCAGTGAATGACTTAAACACCCTATCCCCGCCCCCTGCTTTATGATGAAATTCGGTTTTTCTTTATAGATGTTAGACTTCCTAAGCATCATTGCGGACATTTTCCGATCTGATTCAAGCTGCATAATCTTGATTATCTTTGACAGGAGTTCAGTTGGGAGAATCTTACTGACTTTATCCTGTCCTATCATACAGAATCCTTTGCCGTCAAGATGTGTGGTATCATCGCCTTGATTCAGGCGAACCCGTCGGCTTCCGCTGCCGTCGATCTTCATGAGGCACTCTACCTGCTCCAGCGTGAGTCACTCCGCAGTCCACACCAGCAAATACCTCATGCTCGAGGCTAATCAATGATTTCGGGTATGCAGACAGAGGTCAGGATGCAGCTGGTATTGCCACGTGCGCTACCGGCGGTCGTTTCTATCAGCTCAAGTCGAACGGTATGGCCGCCAAGGTCTTCAATGACGGCGCCAGGGTGGCAGACCTCCCGGGTTTTATGGGAATCGGACACTTGAGATATCCTACCGCCGGAAGCAGTGCCAATGCTGAGGCTCAGCCCTTCTATGTGAACAGTCCATATGGAATCTGCATGGCCCACAACGGCAACCTGATCAACGCTCCCGAGCTGAAGAGATATCTGGACCTCGAGGCCCACCGTCACATCAACACCGACAGTGACAGCGAACTGATGCTGAACATCTGGGCGGATGAGTTGAGCGAGACTAAGAAAGCCCGTGTCAACAACGAAGATGTCTTTGCCAGTCTGAGCCGCATGTACGAGAGATGCCAGGGTGGTTTCGCCTGCACGGCTATGCTTGCCGGTATGTCACCTCTTACTCCCGCATCCAGGATCTTAGCTGACCTCAGAAGGATTTGGTATTCTTGGTTTCCGTGACTCCTACGGTATCCGTCCTCTTGTCCTTGGCTCCCGACCCTCCGCGGACTGTGATGGCATGGACTACATGATGGCCTCCGAGTCGGTTGCGCTGCACCAGCTCGGATTCACCAACATCCGTGACATTCAGCCCGGCGAGGCAGTCATCATCCAGAAGGGCGCCGAGCCTGTCTTCCGCCAAGTGGCTCCCAAGAAGGCCTACGCTCCTGACATCTTCGAGTACGTCTACTTCGCCCGTCCTGACTCTGTCATCGACGGAATCAGCGTGTACCGTAGTCGTCAGCGTATGGGTGACCGTCTTGCCGCCAGAATCCTCGACATCCTTGGGCCGGAAGTGGTCAAGGACATCGACGTGGTCATTCCCATCCCCGAGACATCCACCACCTCCGCCGCTGCTGTCGCGCGGTATCTCGACAAGCCGTACTGCCAAGGTTTCGTCAAGAACCGCTATGTCTTCCGTACTTTCATCATGCCTGAACAGAAGACGAGACAGAAGGGTGTTCGCCGCAAACTGAACGCTATGCAAGCCGAGTTCAAGGACCGAAATGTCCTTCTGGTTGATGACAGTATTGTGCGAGGTACGACGAGTCGAGAGATCGTCACCATGGCCCGGGAAGCCGGCGCCAAGAAGGTCTACTTCGCCAGTTGCGCTCCCGAGATCACGTGAGTATTCCCTGGACCCCCGAGTTCCGGGCCGAGACTTTTGCTGACGATTCGCCACAGCCATGCTCACATCTACGGTATCGATCTGGCATCGCCTACCGAACTGGTTGCCCACGGTCGTAACGTGGTGGACATCGCCAAGCACATTGGCGCCGATGACGTGATCTACCAGACCTTGGACGATCTGAAGGGCGCATGTGCCGAAATCGCCCAGGAGAACGGCCTCGCGGAGCCCCAAGATTTCGAGGTCGGTGTGTTCTGCGGCAACTACATCACTCCCGTCTCCGATGGCTACTTCGAGCACCTGGAGGAGCTTCGCGGTGAGGGCCGCAAGATCAAGGCCTTGGACCGCGCCAAGGAGGCTGTTACGCATGGCTTCGCCAGTGAGACGGACTTCAAGATGGCTGCCAACGGTGTCAAGCTTGATTCTAATGGCAACATCGTCCCGGCGGCCAACCCCGGCGAGTCGGAGGTGCCCAAGGTGGGCATCATCAGCGCCCCTAAGCACTCCCAGGAGGAGCACCCCAAGGTCAAGGACCGCATGGATATCAGCATTCACAATATGGGCGACCATCACTGATTACGAGTTTATGGCTTGAGTTGATACCAATTGGTGGGCATATTGCGTGAACACGGGAGTCTTGGAGTTTTGTAGATGGTGTTTTCGCAAGAACATGGTGTGGCTCTCTACTTGGTGTGTGTTTCAGTGCATGACAGGAAGGGCGTGGGTTGGAACACCCTTTACCTTACCATGATTGTCAAATACCTTTGAAGACATGTTGTTCTGAGATGACGTACTGTTGAATGGGGCTGAACGGAAGTGTTTCCGCCACATCATGTGACCCAACCACACTCCATTTCTTTTTATTGACTCATCTCATGGCGATGATGCTACATCCATTGATGATATAATTTGTACATACCGATAGATTTTGCCTAATGCATCTTCCGCGTCGGAAGATTCTGTACACTTTCTGTTTTTTCTGCTAAACCGTCTTGTTCCTCCTAGCTTTACATTCTATTTGTCCCGTATTCTACACATTCCAGAAGATCTAAAGATGGTCCGCATAACCCGGTCCACAACTGCGCGCCAGGCAGCATTAGCCGCCTCTCAAGCGCAATCTACCTCATCCCAAGTCCCGAGCGTCCGCCATTCCACGAACTCCCCCAGTCAAGAACGAATCCATTCCCAACGCAACAGTCCCCGCCAGGTCAAGACCGAAGATGGAATCCCGGAACCCGCTCCCAAGCGGCGCAAGAGGAACAACGCCACAACTCCCCCGCAAATGAAGGACCTCAACGACCTCCCTCACAACCTAGGCGCGGTAATATCCACCACAACTCCAACCCATTCTCGCATCAAGTCCGAAACCCCCGCCTCATCCATCAAGAAGGAAGAAGAAGCAATCAGCCATCTCGCCAAAGACCTCCAAACCACCGTCGACAAAGCCACGCCATACAATGATTACTCCCCTCCGCCCGGCAAGAAATCCCCCGCAAAAGCAGCGAAGGCGAAAGCGAAAGCGAATCAATACGGCCTGACCCCCGGGCTCAGTCCCTTCCCCGACTGGCCGCACCCGACCCCGGACGAATGCGAAGAAGTCGACCGGCTCCTGTCGTCGATCCATGGCCAGATCGTGGCGCCCGCGACCATCCCGGAGCCCTCGCTGACCGTGACGGGGTGCGGCGAGGTGCCTTCCGTGCTGGACGCGCTGATCCGGACGCTGCTGAGCGGGGCCACGACGGGGAACAATTCGGCCATGGCATTCAACGGGCTGGTGCAACGGTTCGGGATCCTGCGCGAGGGCATCGGCAAGGGGAGCGTGGATTGGGATGCGGTGCGGCGGGCGCCGGTCAAGGAGGTCTTTGAGGCGATCAAGCGCGGCGGGCTGGCGGATGTGAAGAGCAAGAAGATCAAGGCGATTCTCGATATGGTGTATGAGGAGAATAAGGCCCGCCGGGATTTGTTGGTCGGTGGTGCAGATGCCGATGGGCAGGCGGCGGCGGAGGAGGTGTTGGGCCAGTCGGAGGGCCACAAGAACTACGAGATTGCGTGCGCGGACCAGAACTTCTTGAACCTGAACCATCTGCATACGCTGAGCACGGAGCAGGCGATGACAGAGCTGGTCAAGTATCCCGGCATCGGGCCCAAGACGGCGGGCTGCGTGCTGCTGTTCTGCCTGCAGCGGCCCTGCTTCGCGGTCGATACGCATATCTTTCGCATCTGCAAGTGGCTGGGCTGGGTGCCGCCGAGCAAGGTGACCGAGGTCACGGCGTTTGGTCATCTGGAGGTGCGCATCCCGGACCATCTGAAGTATTCACTGCATCAGCTGCTCATCCGGCATGGGAAGTCTTGTCCGCGATGTCGGGCTATCACGGGACAGTCGTCTGCGCGGTGGGAGGAGGGCTGTGTCATTGATCATCTGGTGAGAAGGACGGGGAAGAGAAAGGGAGGACTCTGATAGATGGGTCTGAATCATTGTCTAGGTGGTAAATGGGTACTGTAGGGTTATGCTGCGTAACTCCTTCTGTAGATATAGATATATATGCCCCGATATTGCTCATTGCTAGAGACTAGTACCTCCCTTTTCTTGCTAGAAGATGATTAACGCACCTTGCTCTCTGGCCGAATGACTCTTACTCATTTGACAATGCTATATCAACATACATATATCTCTCTTAGATTTAGAATGCTCATACTTGAACCTCGAATAGACTAGTTGAACCCCGAATGAACCCACCGCAAAGCCCGCAAAGCCCGTTCGGTGGCCCGTGCACCGCGTATCGGAGGGAGCGATAAACAATCGAACCACCCGGACTCTTTCCCTCCCTCCCCTCCTGAACTGCTTCCGCCACCAAAAAAGTGTCTGGCACAACCCAACAGCGCCAGTTCACTCTGTGAATTCCCAGCCCAGCATGGAAACGCTGGCTCAATCTATTCCGGCGGCTTTCCAGCCCGTCGTGGAACATCTCCAGACCCAAGCCCCGTTGTTGGGCGTCGCGTTGCTGTCTCTTGGCGCGGTGTATCTGGGTTACGTCTACGTTCTGAGCCAGAGGGAAGCTGCCGTCACGTTCAACGTCCCCATCCCTGCGGAGGTTAGGGCCAATTGGGAAGGGAAGAAATGGGATCAACTTGATGGAGAAGCGAAGAGAGTGGTTGAAGGGCAGGTTCGAGGAGTAAGTTCACTGTCCTTTCTTTGCTTGTAATTCAAGAGATCGGAGACTTATTCAAAAATTGTTTTTCAAATAGCAATGGAACGACAACCTTATCATGAGCTACTGTCCCGCCGACGGAAGAGTTCTCGGTTCTGGAATCAAACCTGCGACCCCGGAAGACGTCGACCAAGCGATCAAGGCTGCGGCAAAGGCACAGGTAGAATGGTCCAAGACTAGCTTTGCGGAGAGGAGGAAGGTTCTGCGGACTTTGCTGAAGTACGTCTCTCCATAATTGTCTTGCAAGACTCCGTTGCTAACAATTGGGCCCGCAATAGATACGTTCTCGACCACCAAGACGAACTCGTTACCGCCTGCTGCCTGGATTCCGGAAAGACCAAGGTGGACGCCTCCTTCGGAGAAATTCTGGTGACCACCGAGAAGCTCAAATGGACCCTCGACCACGGTGAAAAGGCCTTGACGCCGGAATCGCGCCCTACGAACTTCCTCATGATGTACAAGAAGAATATGGTCACCTACGAGCCGCTGGGCGTAGTCTCGGCCTGTGTTTCCTGGAACTACCCTTTCCACAACTTTATCTCGCCTGTGATCAGCGCCATCTTCGCAGGGAATGGTATCGTTGTGAAGCCGTCCGAGCAAACGGCCTGGTGCACGACTTTCTTCCTGGAGGTCATCCGCGGCGCCCTGGCCAGCTGCGGCCACCCCCGCGAGCTGGTCCAGAGCGTCGTCTGCCTCCCTGGTGTGGGCGACTACTTGACCTCGCACCCGGGCATCTCCCAGCTCACCTTCATCGGCTCCCGCCCCGTGGCGCACAAAGTCTGCGCTTCCGCCGCTAAAGCCCTGACGCCTGTCACCGTGGAGCTGGGCGGCAAGGACCCGTCGCTCATCCTGGACGACTCGCGCACCGTGCATGAACTGCCCGCCATCGCTTCGATCCTCATGCGGGGCGTCTTCCAGTCCGCAGGACAGAACTGCATCGGCATCGAACGCATCGTCGCCCTCCCCGGCGCCTACGACCGACTTCTGGACATTGTCTCTGCGCGCATCGCCAAACTCCGCCTGGGCTCCGTCCTGTTATCCCCTCAGGGTGCCCCTGACGTGGGCGCCATGATCTCCCCGGCCTCATTCGACCGACTGGAATCCCTGATCAACGACGCCGTCAAGCAGGGCGCCCGCCTGATTTGCGGCGGGAAGCGGTTCTCCCACCCCACGCACCCCCTCGGCCACTACTTCACCCCCACGCTGCTAGCCGACGTCACGTCGGAGATGCGCATCGCGCAGGAGGAGCTCTTCGCGCCGGTCTTCGTGCTGATGCGCGCCAGCTCGGTGCCGCATGCCATCGAGATCGCCAACTCGACCGAGTACGGCCTGGGCGCCAGCGTCTTCGGCTACGACCCGCGGGACATCGCCCGGTGCATCAAGGAGATCCGGTCGGGGATGGTCTCGGTCAATGACTTCGGGAGCTACTACGCGGTGCAGCTGCCGTTCGGCGGCGTCAAGGGCTCCGGGTACGGCCGGTTCGCGGGCGAGGAGGGCCTCCGCGGTGTGAGTAACCTCAAGGCCGTGTGCGTGGATCGGTTCCCGAAGTTGATGGCGACGAGGATCCCGCCGCGGGTGGACTATCCGATCAATAAAGGTGAAGGTGCACGGGCGAACGGCACGGGGGCATGGGAGATGTGTAAGGGGGTGGTGGAGACGGGGTATCAGATTACGTTGACGGGCAGAATGAGGGGCATTCTGCGGTTGCTGGGGAATATGTAGCGCTGTACCCTTACGCGAGGCGTGTATACCTGTATGATAGGGCGGGTGTAGTTGACTGTATCATAGTACTTACGTACACATTTAATCATATCACGGCATGGATTCCCGTGATCGACAGTTCTAGCCCTACTTAATGTCGCCATTTGACGAGAATAGCTGACGGAGTGACATACATCAGCCAGCACCAACTCACCAGCCAACTCACCATCCAGCCATCCGCCCTTATCATCTGCGAACTGCAGGATCACCCTCCGAACCTCTGCAGGGGCTCCGCCAACTACGTATGAGGATTATGAGTAGCCCATAGTATCCCTTTGCAAATAGGGCTGAGTGGCTGGCCCAGGGCCGTCTCTTGACATCATCAGTGGTAAATTTTACTGCATTACATAGTCTAGTATATGTAATGAGTACAGCAGCAAGCAGCAGCGCAGATCACCATCTCCCGCGGCGGCGGCGCCCGCAACGCGCAACACAACAACATCATCTCGGACAACACTTGCCTCCCAAGCGCACGAAACGGACGAAAATTACCCCTGACAAGCCCACCCCTCAACCTTAAGAGTTCAAGGGGTCGTACTATGTCATAATCACTGCATCCACCTTTCGTAGACTTTCTACCCCAGACAAACAGAGTGGAGACTCTTGATGGACTTTTGTGTCCTGTCCCCTTCATGCCTGAAAGTCAGGTATCCATGATGTTATACTACTGGCTGTGGCTGCATACCGGGATATGTCATTGGCTTGTTACCGTTGAAAAAAGCAAAAAGGGAGTTAGACTATGAGTAGGAATCACGTGTAACTGGCCCCCTGAAACCCTTTTTTTTGGGGGAATTAGAATGCGAACCATGCTTTGGAGGTATGGAGTATGTAGTACTGTAGTGAACTGACGTGTGACGTCACCCGTGGAAATCAAACCCTCAGCCGCGCAAATGATACAGTGTTAAGGAGGATGTACGAGTACATACGTGAGTAGTTCTCGAACCTGCCAGCCTTATCGGTGGCGAGACCCTGCTCTCACTTCCTTACTGTCCCTACCCTTTTGTCCTATAGTTTAGTGGACAGTAGGGTACGCTCGTCACCGATCCGCAAGGGTTTTTCCCATTTCCGCATTAGGAGGGTCAACCAAGGCATGGCATGGCATGGCGCTGTGAACCACCCCAGCGATAAAAAAACGATGTCATATGTCGTTATGACGGCATCATTGCTTGCAGTTTCTGTCCCGTGTTTGAGACTTAGGAGCATGCTGATCATTTTCTTCTTTTTTCTTTTTTTTCTGTGGCATGTACACTACACTACACTACACTTCACTACACTACACACATACATCATTCGAGAGACAACGAGAACCAACCCTTGAGACTGTCCCCTTCTTCGGATATTTATACTTCACTCCATCCTCCCACGGGAACCAGATAAAAAAGCATACAATGCGTCCTTTCACCGATCCCACTGTCCACACTACAGCTTCTTCGAGTTATTCGTCCCAGGGAACTAAGACTTCGAAATAAGTGTCTACTACTTGCCACTGCACAGCGATTATCCAAGACATCGATATCATACCTACCACTACAACTCTACTACAACTACAACTTCATCTACCACTACAAACACACACTTGATAACAAGAAACCAAAATGGGTGCCGTCGTCTCTTGTGTACGTTCCTTATTCCCTGCTTACCGATAATGAAGGTCATGCTAACAGCGACAACAGATCCAAAGCGTCTTCCACGCCATCGGCGCCTGCCTCATGGGCATCGTCAACACCATCGGCTCCGTCTGCAAGGCCATCATCGACGGCATCGTCACCCTCTTCGACGTGATCATCTCGTGCCTCACCTGCGGGTACTGCGGGAACCGGCGGCGGACGCGGACGCATGGCCGGAGGTCGAGGGTTTAAAGCCTGCCTTCTAGTTCAAGAAAGACAAGATGTGAAGATGAGGGGGGGGGGGCTAGGGGGATGAAGATACCGTGATGGGATGGGATGGGATGGGTTGTTTGTTATACCCCTTCTTTTCTGCTCGGATGGAGACGATACGTCGGATCTACTTTGATCTTTTATGAGGTTACGACTTACGGATTGCGTTTTGTTTCGTTCTTAGTTTTAAGTTCAGTGGTTGTTTTCTTGTTGCTATCGTGATGGTTTGATATCCTATCCTGTGGTTTTTATGATTCTCTTCCTTCCTTGGATTAATATGATTCTTCCATTATCTATAACTATACCATATGCATATGTAAGCCTTGTCCCCTGGGATCATAGTATCATATAAACCCAAACCCCTTTCTCCCTCAAAATACACGTAGTACCCGAGAGTATGGAACCTCACCTTCTCCCCGATCTACATTAACACAAACAACTATAACCCAAGCACCGCCCCCATCCCCACCCGCACCAACAACCCCCTAACCCTCTCCCCCTCCTCCCACGTCAGCCCCCCTTCACCATCCCCCAACCTCTCCTCCACCAACACCCTCACAAACCCATCCCCGGGCCCAGAAGCGTACTTCACCGCCGCGCAAAAATGATTCACCGAGACCGGCCACGGCACCGGGAAATCATACCACGGCATTCGGACCTTCAATCTCAGGAGGGTCTGAAACGCGTCAAACTCCCGCGCCCGGATCGTCTGCCGCAGTGCGCGCCGGGACCGGTCGTGCGCCGGCGTGTCGTCGATGTACGCGTCCGGCGCCAAGAGGCTCAAAAACTCGAGGTTCTGGGGCGTCCACGGGGAGGATAGGAGTCTGTCGGGGATGCGTGATGATAGAGTGCCGGTGGGGCTGGGGATGGTGCAGGTCGGGAGGCGGAAGGTGTTGGGGGTCGTGGAGGTGGTGGTGCTTGTGAAGGGGGTGCTGGAGGAGTAGATGTCGTTTGGGGAGCGGATTTGGAGGGCGCCGGGGTGGAGGTAGAGGGCTATTCTGTGGGGTTTGGGCGTGGGTTTGGTCATGGTGGTTGATGGGTTGGGGTTGGGGTTGGGGTGGGCAAGGAGGATTAGGTCGCCTTTTCCTGGGCTGCTGTCGCGGCTACTGCTGGTGCCAGCTTGGTGGATGAGGCTGGAGAGGTGCTCCTCCAACGAGAGGAGGGTGGCTTCGTCCTGCTGCGAGAAGAGGAAGTCCCTCCCCGGCTGGCATTTCTGGTGGATCGTGTGCAGGAGGTAGTCGCGTTGGCACTGCCGGATGAGCGGGAGGGTGCACCAGCGGCAGGCCAGGAGGGTGGTCTGCAGGTCTCTGCGTTCCACTGGGGACAGGGCGAAGAAGTTGAGGGGCCGGGGGAGGAAGTCCTCTGTGAAGAAGTGGGTGTCGGCGCTGGCGTTGGTGCTGCTGAATGCGAGCCGGATGAGCCAGGTGTATAGCGCGGGCGTGGACAAAGCTTCCGCGAGACGGGGTGATGCGCGCGGAAGGTTGACCTCCAGACTGTGCAGGAAGATCTCCTGGATGATCTCGACGGGGAGAGATTCGAGTCTTGAGCTTGCTCTGGCTGGTTTGGTGGGAGCCATTTGGGGTTGCTGTAGACTCCTGATGCGGATGCATGTATGTATCAATGCAATTGTCCCAGTACGATGGCGAGATGCTTCTCAGTATGGGCTTTGCGCAGGGGTGGATTGTGAAGACTGGATTGTCAAGGCACGCATTGCTTTTGATAACCGCGAGTACTTTGGGAAACCAAGAATCAACTGAGACGTGATGTACTTGGAGGAGATCGAGCATCGCTGTGCGTCAGAGCTGCAGCCGTTGCTAACACTAGGTGGGTTTAGTGCTCGCCTCGTTCATGCGGCAACATGTCTCATTGCATATAGGGGACAATGCAAAGAGTGATGAACATTGTCCTGTATAGTGGATTGTACTGCGCATGGTCCCCTTTGGATATAGTTCAGGATAACAATTCCACCTCAGTGAGTTTCGCAGAGGACGTGGTTGGGGCGATCGGGGAATCGTCGGGTGGACTTGCACGAGGTGAATGGTTCACGATATATATGAAATGACTTTTATATCTATGTCTTGACTTCTAGTAGTGAGTTTTTCCTGGAAAGAAATCCTGCATCTATAATTCGTCAAGACATCAAGGTCATCCCAAACCATCGTGAAATGTATAAACAAGAGCTGTCGACTCATCCTGTAGGATATTGGAATTTTTGGGAGTCGATGGGTGACATATCCAGATGAAGATAGCTTAATACGCTGATGAGAGTGATAATTGGTCGGTTTGCTGTACTTATTATACGTCTACAGTCGCCTCCATGACCTTCTGTCTTCGTGTCTGGCATTACACTCACGCAAGAATACTTGCTCTCCTTTCTACCCAGAGCACACTAAAGCCTTGACAAGCCATCTAAGTATTGAAGAACACAGCGATGCATATTTGACCTTAATTGACGCCTCGAACCTACAGCCTACAGCCCGAAATAAGGGGGAAACCATAAATTGAACATCTTCTATACATAGTCCTACAACCAGCAATCACACGACCAGACAGACAAAAGGGTATCCTAACTGGCCAACATGCTTGACAGATAAGTAAGAGAACAAGTCTTTCTTTGTGTGTTGTGTGGCTATATCTGGAGGTTGCAGGACAAAAGTGGACGGAAATGGCATACAAGGGATTCAGCCAGTTTAGACAACGGACATCTCGCCGAAGCGCTCCTGTAAGTTGCAAAGAATGGTTAGTCTGTGTGTTCTCAGGAATTGTGGGTTTAGCACAATCAAGGGTCGGGAATCTCACCTTGTAGCCGGCCGGCATCCAGCGACCCTTCTGGACAAGGGAGGAGGTCTTCTCGTCGATCTCGGGCTGGGCAGCAGCAACCTCGTCCTAGAGTGGAATGATCTGATTAGCAAAAATCGACGCGGACGGTCGGAGCGATCACAACGTACGACGGTGAGGTCCTCGAAGGGACGGGCGGTCTCGATGTTCTCGAGGGTCTTCTGGAGGTTGCGGAGTTCAACCTCGACCTTGCCCTTGGTCTCCTCGGCGCTCTGAACGGCCTGGGCCTCGAAGGCGTCGATGGCCTTCAGCTGGCGGTTGACATCGTAGGTGGCGGGCTTGAAGCTCTTGAAGTGGCTCTCGAGCTGGTCGACGATGGCCTGGTTCTTCAGCACCTTGCGGTAGTGGGCGAAGTCGACGGTCTGGGGCTGCTCGGACAGGACCTGAACCTTGCGGCGCGCGTCGTCGTTACGCTTCTTGAAGGCCTGGAGGGAGGCAGCGGTCTGACCGCGGAGACCGAGCGAGCTGGTCAACTTGGTCCAGTCGATCTTGAGAGCGGCGCTACGCTGTAATCCAGGCTGTTAGTGGGTTATCTCGCCGGCTGACTGCGTCAGAATATCGGCACAGGCGGTGGGGACATACGGCGGCCATTTTGAATTGTGTTATGGGAGGGAGTGGGAGGGAGAGGGGAGGTCAACGTGCAAAGCTGGAGAATCCGGGAGGTTGAGGGTTGACTCGGCAAGATTTGGAATGGAGATGGCATCACGTGACCCGCATTTCCCGTCTTCCGAACGGCCACAGCACCACCCGGGATGCAGCCAGTAGGCCCAGGAGTATGCAGTGATTGTTGTCACGGTGCCACATCTACAGTGCCTGATTATTGAAGTATCGTAGATACTCGCGCTCTAGGAATTACAGATAGAAATCTAATAATATTTCTGGATCATTCAATTCTGCTTTTGAGCTAATTGATTTACACAATGGGACTTGCCAGGGTGTCCACCCTAGGGGACATCACTCTGACTGCACACCCACAATCCAGCCTGCCAGCAGGGTCGACACAGCTCACCCACTGACACGTGCAGTTAAGTTGACAACGCTTATATGCTGAGGGCCATGATGGAGTTGACAATGTCGTTGTCGTTCTCCCGAAGAGCCTTGACGGCCTTCTTGCGAGACACATTAGCCTGGGCCATAACCAGTTCGATGTCCTTCGCCTCAAGGCCGGACTCATCAACCTCCTCGCCATCATCCTCCTCCTCCTCCTTCTTGGCCTCAACCTCGGGGGCATTGCCCTGGGCGTGGTCGTGGTCGTGGTCGTGACCGGCGTGCTCGTTGGCAGCGGCCTCGGCGAGCTGCTGAGCAGCGGAGGCCTGGGCCTGGGAGTTCAGGTCCTCGATCTTGGCCTCACCGAAGATGCTGTAAGGCAATGTGTAAGCTTTGTGTCATGCATTGATAGGCTGAGATCATCATAAAAAGAAACCACGTACATCCAGGTGTTGCTGGTAGGGGAGCGGTAGACATCGGGCTGGTTGATGACGAAGAGAATCTGTTTTGCAGCTAGAATTAGCCACACTGCTGTCACATCCCTCGTCCGCTTCGCTGACACGCCTCCGAAAATTTCATTGTAGGACGGTTGCCGAGCGATCGCGGATAGCGGGGTAAGAATGGATTCGGTCGCAACTCATACGTTCTTGGGGCGGCGGAGAGTGACACGGGTGATGCCAGGGACGTGCTTGAGGCCGAGCTTGCCAATGGCCTTGCGAGCCTTCTTCTCGTTGCGAGAGTGGATGGTGACGGCGGCACCACCGGGGATGGTGGGCTCATCGCCAGCCTCAGACTCAGAGTCGCTGCCGGCATCCTCAACCTGGGTCTTGGGGACCTCCTCGTCGGGGAGCTCTTCAACACGGGGATCGGCCATTTTGTATGTGTGGAAGTGAGTAGAGCCTAAAATGGGCTATGTGATGGTGGTTTGAAAGGTCAGCAATTCGCACGGTGGTGGGACTCGCACAGGTGGTGGTTTGGGACGAGGCTCGAATTGGGCCTAAGAGACCCAGAAACTCCCACAAAACTGCAGGAATTCGCCAAATTCGAGCGGCAATGGCATCTGGGCGGTCACAAATTCCATTTTAACGTACCTGGACACAGAATAGGGGACTGTGGTGGATGGAGGGGATTTTTTTGCCTTGGTTGGAGTTGGGAAGACTTGAAGCTGTGTGAATGTCATCCTGCCGAAAATCGTTAGCGAGCTTATTGGGGGGACCCTCCCCCCGGACACACAAGCAGCGGCTGCTTTACAGACCAAGTCCGTCCGCATACATACAACCAAGCTACTAAGTTACGCTGTTATATGCAATCGTATAGTCTTGACCTTCAAATCCTCGATCTAGGCTTAATCTTTAATTTATTAATTTTTACAATGAAAGTCCCTTTGTTTTCCGTCTTTTTTTGCTTTGAAAGTCTAAATTGTGTTCATTGCCCATTTCCTTCTCAGGATTTGACCCGCTGATGTCAAGTCGAAGACCCAGTTGTATCATAAGTCATATACTCACTGAAAGGGCGTTCGTTCAGGCGGCGAACGGCTTTCAGCTTTCCATGACGTACGAGAACAAGCCATGTCAGGATATCAAAGGTTCTTGAATCATTTTTATGCTGTCAAATAATGCATACAGCGTAAGTTTTTGCTGAACATAAATTAACCCATCAGCAAATAAACCCCGTCCTAAGGCACCCTGTCACACTTTGCACCGAGCCCCAAAAACCATCTATGCCTTGGGAGCAGCAGCTCTGAGCTTGGCGTGAGCCTTCTGGACCTCGTAGCGAGCCTGTAAAGTCGGAACATGTCAGCCTTCGTCCATTTTCCTTGCGCGCCTCCAAAGAACCATCGCATTCCACCACCGGGCACGAAATAAGCCCCGTTGTACCCCCGTTGTCCCCTTCTCATATGGCGCGCATATCTCAAATCCATCCATGTCGCACGTACCTGCTTGCGGAGTCTGAGAACCTTGAAGCGCTCGAAGTCGGTCAGGTTCTTCCGGCGCTCGGCGCGGTCGGTCTTCTTAGCGAAACCGCTCTGAGCCCACTTGCCATCGATCTCGTTCTTCTCCCAAAGCTTCTTGACGGGGCCAGTACCGGCAGCACGGGGCAGCTGGGGAATGACGAAGTGGGTGAGGGTGGCGTGGGAGAGGGGGAGGACGTGGCGGGGGACGATCTTCTTCTCCTCGGTGGAGGGACCATCAACCAGAACCTAATCGAGTGCAACTCGTGTCAATTTTCATGTTCATGTTTCCGCCCAGCAGCGAATCCCATCCCATGTTCCGTTTCTTTCTTTTCCGAGATCTCCGGGATTCCTCCACACTGCAGTTTTTCGCGCGAATTTCATAGAACGTACACGTCTGTGGTCGACAATCTCGACAATGGCGGCGAGCTTGCCGGTGAAGGGACCGCTGCGGATCAGCACAACGCGGCCAACCTCAACCAGCTTCCATTGAGCAATCTTGACATCGATATCGGCCATGGCGAAGGCTTCCTATATTTTTGCAGAACAAAGAACGACTTTAGTTTGATGTTGCGTGCGTGTGGGTGACAGGGTGGTCGTAGGATGGGGAGGGGCGACAAGAACTCACGGTCGACAGACTCCGGGTGGGACGGTGGTGGTGATTTGTTGTCGAAATGTCGGGGTTGTCGAAGGTCGTCCTAAACGCACAAGTCTCGTCTCACTCAACGGGCTGACTGGATAGCGAATTTCGGTGGTTGCGGCCCTTCGCCCACAAGAGTCTCGCTTAGCAGCCAGTAGCAGCCCGCCGCAGGGTGTTTGCGTGCGGCCTAGGGCTGCTTCCGCCCCTTAGCGCCCTGCATCGGCCGCCGGATATTTTCCGTTCCGATCACCGCGCCTTTTAAGCTTCTGATTCAACAGCAATTGTTTGCCGGTGTTTCTCTCTGTTCTCTGTGTGCGTGCAGTTCTCTCTGCAACGTTCCAGACTTTTGGGTGTTGGAACTCCAGAACAAATGTGGTTCTGATCATGACGATCATCTCATCAATTTGAAGCAAGCAAGCTTCAATTGCTAACCAGCTACCTTAACTTCGACAGTATACGCGCACCGTGTGTTGTACTGGTATGCATCCACCCTTTCCTTCTTGACTTCCTACCTCAATCCTTACATGATGCGGTAATTTGCGATTGACGCAGCGTCTGTGATGCCCTCGCCGGGGTTTTCTATACAGCGCTGCCGCATGATATTTATTTCTTACATATTCTGATATTCTCCACCCTTCGCCTCTTCGTTGCACTCACATTTCCATATGTGTCTCCATGCTAACATTGCGAAGATTCTAGCAGCAGATCTCAATTCCCTCGCCTTGCGACTCTCCACTTCGAGATATTGGTATGTATCTCACTTTTGCTCTCGTCTGCCCTCCCCAGTTCCGGTGATTAAAAGCATGATATCACGCCTAGATAGTAATTGATGCCTTCTGGCAATGATATTTCCCTCATCACCAAGATCTCTGAGGAACATCTTCCAATTCAGAATTTGGATCATCACTCATCTTTGTTTTGACTGGTTTCTAACCTTTTGCAAATTCAGGTCCCGTCTCAAGTTTATTGTATATCTTTTGACTTAATACATATATTCTATATTTCCAAAAACTGTTCACTGTAGATTCGGTCCTACGTAGAATAGCGTCTCCCTCGGTTTCGCTGGATGCTTGTAATACTATCATGTCGAGTCCGGTTACAGGTTACCGGAATTGATGGACGGCTATGGTCAGAGAAAAAGTTTGGACGCTATTAAAGATCTAAATATATGCGAAAGTAACATATGGTAAAGTTTTACGTGGAAAGATGCTGAAGGGGCCTGCAGGAAACCCCTGATTCCTGTTCGTGAAGTCCATCTATATCATTACTGGTAATCGACCGAGTGCGGAGACGAGGCTATCACGATGAACCCGCACCCATCCCCGCAACAGTAGCGATTGGGCCCTCGCGACTCAGCACCCACATGAAGATGAACTGAATGATGTACGCATAGACGAACAGAAACTGGGTGCGGCGGTTGCGCTGCGAGCGGGCAACAGTGTGCATAGACCCCGAACGCATGGAGGCGTCACTAGTGGAATCTGGGAGCAGAACGTATTTAAGGGAGCGGAGCTAGGTTGGACAGCAAGAGTTAGCTAGCGACCAGGCTACTGCGGTATCATCACGGGGTACGTACCAGGAAGAAAGCGTTAGCCAGGAACGTGTAGACGAAGACAACCCAACCAACCCAACCACCGGTGCCTCGGCCAGGGGTGAGGATCTCAGACGCCAAGAGCGTGAGGATGATTCCGACGAACTTATAACCGGAGTAGGCAACGAGATCGAGGAGCTGAGACTCGTTGTTAATGCTGAGGATGTACATTGCCAGCTTCAGGCACATGATCTCGAACAGTATGACTGCGATAGCTGTCGTGGTAATCGACCCGAGGAGCTCCGGGTGGAAGTTTCCGCGGAACCCAGCCAACATGGCCGAGAGCAGAATGTAGGTGACCAGTGCCATCACAGGAATATACATGTCGGGCGAGTTGAGATCATCACGGGGCGGAAGAAACATGGAGGAGTACTGCTGCTGCGAGATCTGGCCATTGGGGCCAGCTGCAGCCGTCGTCAGGCGTGCCTGTTGACGGGACCAGGGCTTGTGTCGCCATGGGAAGAGAACGAGGGAAAGCTTGTTCAGGACGTAGGAGTTCGAAACGTTGAAGTAATGCTTGAGGGCCGGAATGGACACATAACGGTTTAACTGGGGGTTGAGATTAGCAATGAATATCCTCAGAATGCCATGAACACAGGCGCTGCTTACGTTCTGCTCCATATACTCCTGGCCAGCCATCATCGCTGTCTTCCCGACCTGAAAACTCATCTGCGCCGTTGGATCATTGATGAACTGACCGAACCCCGGGCCGTAGGTCCCACTGCCACCTTGCGCAGGTGCGGGTTGGTATGGGTTGCCATAGCCCGCGGATTGAGGCTGCTGAGATGTCGGAGGCGGCGGCGAGCGCATCATAGGAACTGTAGAGACATGCTGAGGCACTGGGTGGTGAAGCGGAGGCGACTGCGCCGGGGGTGGAGCAAATGATTGGCGATACATGTTTTCTGAGAGGAGTGTCGAAATGAAAGATTGTAGACAGGTTGAAATTGGAGTGGATGGGATGATATCGGGGGAGGGGATCGTGGGGCGCCGAAGCGGCAGAGAGCTACTTAGTGAGATTTGCACAAAGTTGGAGAGATGAAGGTGTTTATACGTGGCTGAAGTCCGCCGTTCCTTCCGCTCCCCAGCTCAGCTCGCCGCCCACGCCCACACATTCCCCACCCGCGCGGACCTCATCATCGACCTTCCACTCGATCATTACATCACCCAGCAAATATTTCGAAACACCCTTCGGAAACATGTTAGAATCCTTCGAAATTCTCGACACCTCGGGTGTGGTTCTCTGGTCAAAGTCCTACGCCCCTGTGGGTGCCCACGTGGTCAACAGTCTTATCAGTGATGTTTTCATCGAAGAGAAGGCCCAGATCCAAGGCCCAAACAGTACCTCGCCAACTTTCAGAAAGGAGAAGTACACCTTGAAGTGGAAGAGAGTCAAGGAATTCAATCTCATTTTTGTGGTATGTGCCTTCTCTAATGCAGTCTGCGCTTCGTGGCTCTTACCAATGCTGTGAGTCAGGCCGTCTACCAGTCTATTCTACAGCTGGGCTGGATCGACAAACTCCTCGATAACATCGCTACCCTGTATATCGACCTTTACAAAGATCAGCTGAGAAGCACTCGCGCGAGGATAGTGCAATACCCGTTCGACAAATACTTTGACCAGCAAGTGCGCGAGCTCGAGGGCAGCTCGGGATTTGTCGCATCGGAAAGTTCTGTGGCGAATGCGGTTGATAAGAAAGATCCGCTTGTCTCGTCTGACAATGGGGGCCCACCACCGCCATCGGTCTCTGGCCTCATCAAAGGTATTTTCTATTGCATGCCCCCGATTCCAGGGCTTTACTGACGGTCGCAAAGCGCAGCAACAAGCTGCGCTCGGCGGCGTGGTCACCTCAGATGAGGGTACGCCACCCCAAACTCCAGATTTCTCGAGATCGACAACACCCGTTGCCGGCCATATCCTTACCGCCAAGCTAGGCCCCGGAGGTCGTATGTCGCGCCGTGGACGCAAAGCTGCCAACTCCAGCGCCAATGCTTCATCCGGTGACGAGAAGGGGCGAAAAGATAAGACTCCGAAGGGTGGAAAGAAAATGCGTCGGTGGGATGCAGACGGTTTCGCCGATGAGGATGATGGCCGGGTTCTGGACTACTCGGCTCCGGCTGATGCTGAAGGAGCACAGGTACCGGCGGTAGAGGCTGTCTCTGAAGATTCATGGGGTCGGAGAACTGGTAAAGGCCAGTTCGTGCTCAAGGACCTCGGAGATGAGGTTCACTCGATCCTCGAGAATGCGGAGAGCGAGAAATCGAAGGGTGCTGCTTCTTCCGGTCTCGTTGGCTCGGGCTTCAACGCCATCGGTGGTCTCCTAAGGAACATTGTCGGCGGTAAGGTTCTGACGGAAGCTGATCTGGAGAAACCCTTGAAAACGATGGAAGATCATCTCCTGAAGAAGAACGTTGCGCGGGAAGCGGCGGTCCGGCTTTGCGACGGTGTCAAGCGGGAGCTTGTCGGGAAGAAGACGGCTAACTTCCAAAGTGTGGATGCGGCCCTGCGTTTGGCCATGGAATCCTCTTTACGCAAGATCCTGACACCAACTTCATCTCTTGATCTCCTTCGTGAGATTGATGCTGTCACATCTCCCACGACCAAGCAGGCGACTCCTCGCCCCTACGTCATCTCTATTGTTGGAGTCAACGGTGTCGGAAAATCCACTAATCTTGGAAAGATTTGTTACTTCTTGCTGCAGAACAACTACCGTGTTCTGATTGCGGCCTGTGACACTTTCCGGTCCGGTGCAGTGGAGCAGCTCCGTGTTCATGCCCGTAACCTCAAGGAACTCAGCCAGCGTGAGACTGCTGGTGAGGTGGAACTATACGAAAAGGGTTACGGCAAGGATGCAGCGAACGTCGCCAAGGACGCTGTGGAATACGGCGCAGCCAACAAGTTTGATGTTGTCTTGATCGATACCGCAGGCCGCCGCCACAACGACCAGCGTCTCATGTCGTCTTTGGAGAAGTTTGCCAAATTCGCTAAGCCCGACAAGATCTTCATGGTTGGCGAAGCGCTTGTTGGTACGGACAGTGTGATGCAGGCCCGTAACTTCAACCAGGCCTTTGGTACGGGAAGGAATCTCGACGGTTTCATTATTAGTAAATGTGACACTGTCGGTGACATGGTAGGCACTCTGGTCAGCATGGTACATGCGACGGGTATCCCAATCGTGTTTTTGGGCGTTGGTCAACACTACGGTGACTTGAGAGGGCTGAGTGTCCCTTGGGCTGTCAACTTGTTGATGAAATGAGTAGCTATGTGCGGTTTACGTTTTTAACGCTAGTATGATGATGTTTTAGCAAGTCTTGTTTAAACCACCCTAGAATTATTAATAGGGCTCAATGGCAGTTGAATAATGCACACATGATTTGGCAAGGCCTCTACTACGGGAGTAAACTTCAGTACATTAAATACAAACCACAATGATACGAAAATCGGTACCAGTGTCCTAAATCCAAGTCTAGGAGGCAGCAGGAATGTACTCTAGATGAACCCATGTTAAAGGATGACGAACAAATCCACGGAGTACGTTCGCTGAAAAAGTGCGTGTGAATATCGGCATATATATAAGTAGAGACCGAACCGGTATAGCCGCCATTTCTGCTAGTCCTACTGCACTTTATTGACTCTTGAGTCGAATGGACCAATGGGCTTGACTTCCGATGCAGAATCCCAACGCGCTGATCATGTGTCCACCAAAGCATCGAACAAGCCATAGTCTCGAGCCGAGAGTTTACCAGCGTCTACAGTGTTGTTGTTGTTGTTGGCCTATTACGCACGTCCTGGTAAGGGAGACCGCAAGATGGAAGCGGATGAGTCAGCTGCAAGCCTGCAGAGGGGCTTACATCATCTGCAGGGCCTCGCCGATGATCTTGTGTGGAGTGGAGTTACTCCGCGCGCAACATCTTCGAGATCCAGTCCTGCTGCTGACTGCGCTTATCATCATCAGTTCCTTTCTTTCTTCCTTGCTCGCCTCCAGCTTTGGGACACGGATCTTGCGTGGTTGAAAGATCACTTTCTATCTGCATTACATCCCTTCAATCGCTTTTAGTTGTTATATCCTGGGGGCTCCTACGCCCCCCGCACTGCGAACGACGTGTGACCCTTGAGCTCCATCATCTCTGCTGGAAACGCAAGGGAGGCTCACTGAGGCTGGAGACACGACCATCGCTTCATTTGATACTGTTTAGATTATCTTCTAGAGCTATCCTTCGTGAAAATGAGGACAGACGAGCAGGGCCCGTTCAACCGGCGACATTCTTCCACCCTACACTACCAAACCTTCGACACCCCACCACCAAAGTCTCGCGGAAGACCGAACTCTGGACAGTCTGGATCGTCTGGCGGAGACTCGCATCATCAGCAGAACGACAATGGCTCCGAGCGCGGGTCTGGGTCACCACTCCCGAAGCGGCAGATGGCCATCCTAGCCTTCATCTCCCTTTGCGAACAAACGGCCTTCAACTCGATTAGTCCCTACCTACCCGAGATGGTGTCGTCATTTCCTGAAGCTGAAGCTCGACCGAATACCGTGGGCATGTATGTTGGAGCGCTGGCTACGGCGTTTGCAATCGCGCAGCTTGTGACCAACTACTTTTGGGGCTGGTTGTCGGATCGTGTGGGCCGGAAGCCGATCATCCTCCTGGGCACCATTCTTACGGCACTATGCTTCTGTGCCTTTGGATTTTGCAAGACACTATATCAGGCTATCGCGGTACAGGCGTTAATGGGTGCGGTCAACGGCAATCAGGGTCTCGTATCAACCTGCCTCGGTGAGATCACCGACCGCAGCAACCAATCCAAGGCGTTCGCCTATCTCCCCGTCTTGTACGGCATCGGAGGCGTCACCGGCCCCATCCTTGGCGGGCTGCTGATCTTCCCCAAGAACCCATTCGACAAGAGTCAGCCAAACCCATACCCATACGCCGCCCCTAACCTCATTGCGGCGGCAATCCTCGTTGTCGACTTTGTCGCTTCGATTTTCTTCCTCGACGAGAGTCTTGACGATGCGGATGCCCTTCCCCACTTTGGTCGGCGTGTTCGGGCCTTGTTTGCCTGGCTCTGGCAATGGACCAGCTCCGCCAAACGCGCAGGATGGATGAAACCACCGCACCATGCTTCATACCGCCATCTCCGGACACAGTCCACTGACAGTCAGGATCACGACAGTGAATTGGACTCGGCCTCGGAGGTCTCCGAATCTCCCCGTCCACACCCAGAATCGTTGATGCAGAGTCAGATCTGGAACCGGGACACGATCTTGCTCCTTTTGACGTACCTCGTCTTTGCCCTGTGCAACGTCTCCTTCAACTCGCTCTTCCCCATCTTTTCGCAAGCCAGGCCCCCATTGGGCCGAGCTCTCACCCCCTCGGAGATTGGTCTTGCTCAGGGATTTACAGGACTGGTTACCATTATCTTCCAGATCTGCATTTTTGGAAAGTTGCGCGACAAGATGGGCAATCGATGGTCTTACCGTGCCGGACTGCTGGGGTTCGTGGTGTCTTTCCTCCTTATGCCCTTCATCGGGTATAAGGGCAACGACACGGATAAGGGCGGTGTCACTGGCAAGACCGCTCTGATGGCCATTGAATTATGTTTTGTCTTGCTGATCAAGACCGTCGCCTCGGTAGGCGGGTTAACTAGCGCACTCTTACTGGTATGCACCCCGTCCTGAGTTTAACACTTTAGACACATTCTGATGAATTGCAAAACCAAATAGATCACAAACTCCGCCCCCGACCACACGGTCCTCGGCTCCTTGAATGGCCTCGCGCAAACCCTCTCCGCCGCCGGCCGCGCCGTCGGGCCCCTCATCTCCGGCAGTCTATTCAGTTTGGCGTCCCGCCTCCCCACCAAAGGCGAAGCCATGCCCTTCGGCGTTTTCTCCGCCGTCTCCTTTGTCGGATTCATCCTCAGCTTCGGTATCCGCGCCCGTTCCCTCGAAGCGGAGGACTGGGAAAGCGATGACGACGATGATGACGAGGATGAAGAGGAAGACGACGCCGGCAACGACGACCCCAACAACACCTCCACCAACAACCACGAACGAAGATCCTACAAACCCGGCAACGAAGATGAAGAAGCTCGTCCCGCTCGTTAGAATTGTTGAAGATATCTAGATTGATTCCCTTTATTTATTTTGACCATCGAATGTAAAACGCAAGACGGGAGAACCTTCTCTTCGCTTGCACGGCACAAGAAAGCAAAAAGACAACAACAGACAAGAAAAAGAAGAAAGACATCTACAGACCTATTCCTCCAAGTTAACGACCGAGACACGACGACATTCCTTTTCATTTTTTTTTTGGTTTAATCGATCTTGTATCGTTCGGTTTATTCTTTTTTTTTGTTATTGTTCCGATAGAGGGAAGCCAGCGCCTGCAAATCTGAACGTGCTATTGAGTCTACTTTATTATTCTGCGTGTTTGTTAGTCTTTCAAAAGAGCGTTTGGGTTTTGTGCATAGCTGGGGGTGTTTTTCTAACTGTTTCTTAAACTGTTTTAGAGGGGTCAGGGGATGGGGCAGGGATGTTATGTAAATACTTAATTTAGATTCTTGTTTAGTGTCGAGTGGTGTATGCATTTGTGCTTGGCTTGCTGGTTTTCTCTACTGTGGTTTTGTATTGGGTGGCCGGTGGTGTTGGGTTGGGTTCTAGCTATAGGTCAACTGTGCTATTCCTTTGCAAGGGTTAGGTACTGTACCTATGCCTTTACTGTTACTTCAATCTGGTTAGTGGTGATGGTTTGCAACAGCGAAGATAGAGGGTTATCACTAGAATACACATACACAGAGAAAGTCATAGAGTGAGAAGGAGAGACTGTATTGCAAAACACTGCACCGCCGCAACCCGTCGCTCTGTTTCCATCAAAAGATAGGATAGTAATACCGTCCGAGAATCCTCACCACGAAATGAATGGCGACGTCGAGATTCGTTCCAGGTAACTGTAACTAACAACGACTGGGGAGAGAAAAGTCATGATCAAGTCGCAAGTCGTATAGGACAGAAAGTAGATAGCGAGGAAGGATATAGTATTTGAAAAAGGCAAGCCCGAACCAATCACAGGTATCATGTCATATCATGTCATATCATATCGAGAAAAAAAGGAGAGAACTAGCTATTGTTGCTACCAGAGGAAGTTCTACGAACGTCGCTCGGATGTTCCCACTGTCTCCTTTTGTTGTTGTTGTTGTTGTTGTTGTTGTTGTCCGGATTTTGAACCTTGTCGGGCCTTGCGAGCCCATGGGATGTCCTTGGCGAACAGTTGTCTGAGTTCAGGGGAGATGACCTTTGCGTCCTTGTCGCCTGGTGGGGTGCTGGGGCCGGCGGCGGCGCTGCTGCCGGTGGCGAAGCCAGTGGATTGCCCAGGGTGTTCGGGGGATTTGCCCTTGTTGCTGTTGTTGTCGTTGGTATTGTCAGCGGCAGCAGGGGAGTTCGCAGTGGGTTTGCGTTGGTAGGCTGCTGGCGATGGAGAGGGGAAGTTGTTTTTCTTGTCGATGGCTTGAACGGCTCGTTCAAAGCGGTGGAAGAGAGATTCGGCGCGGGTCAGGATGGGGACGAGTTCCATGGTGTTGGATAGTTCGTTGACTATACAATAGATTAGCATGGTGTTTGGGAGACGTGCGAGAAGAGGATGACGTACTGTACTTCAAGACTTCATCGAACTGCTTCAGATGGTCCATGATCACATCCCTGTGCTTCTCGAGTATTGCCAGGGCGATGAAAAGATGGAAGCTGCTGGACAGGTAATCCGTCCATAACGTCTCCCACAGACGCAGGACGTCCACCCATTCGAATTCGCGCTTGTACCAGACCAGGAGCATGCGGAAGAAGAAGAAAAAGTTGGTACTATCGGCAGATTGGAGGTGGAGGTAGAGCTGGGGATCCATGAGCTGGACAAGATGGTCTAATGTCGTCAGCTGTGCGCGCATGCCTGATTGATCCCGGAGGAAATTTTGTTCCTGGTTCAGCATGTTAGCATGGATAGCACATGTGTACGGAGACTAGATAGTTACCATCCTGTCCATGAACCCGACAAAGGCCCAGAATGCAACGGCATCATCCTGCATGACCGCATATATCGGGGCTAACAGATCGCTCATGCCTTGGACATATCCAAGATCAGGGTTATATTCGTTATATGTCAGAAGCATGTCTTTCATTTGTTCTAGATGCACGTTCGTTCCAGTCTCGGCAAAAGGCGAGTCAGGGTCCGGATGGGGGATGTCTTCGCCGGCAAATAGGGGTATCGTGCGATCTGTGCGATGAACATCTTTCTCTGCGGGTGGGTCAGCATAGAACAGTCATGCAGTCCTCAAAGCACCTACCTATTCTGTTCCTCTGCTCTTTCCACCAGTCATACTCCTCTGCCGTGGAGCCGCCTTCGATCATCTTCTCCCACCAAGCACCTTTCAAACGAATATACTCGTCTCGTTTCGAACTGATCAAAGCCTGGCGCTCGTCGCGACAACTGTCCCACGGGTACACGCCAAGAAGAAAAAGCCATGCCTCTTTCCGGACGCCGTCGTTGGGGTCCAGCCCACCGTGGAATATTCGCTCCTTCACTTCTTCAGCAGTTACCTGCAACCGGCCCGTATGCGGGTCGAAGAAACCCTCCCACTCTTTCAGAGTCACTATTTTCCGACGTTCTTGGATGGACATAGTTCCCGTCTCAAGCTCCAGGATCTCAAAGTCGCCCACCGAGCTGTTCTCCATGCCAAGCACATCCCGCGCAGTCCAGATGCGCTGGTTCCTTTCGCGCTCACTCTGCTCCGAGATGCTCATGGCCCAACGAGCGAGATAGAGCCTAGCACTGTCGAACTCATCTTGCAAAGTCTGGATCTCAGGTGTCCTCATCAAGCGACGAACCTGGGGAGGTATCCGGGGGTTGTCCGCCAATTCATTCGCGGTTCGCCTGGTGAAGGTCGTAATCTTGCTAAGCGATTCAAGAACTTTCCACCGTGCTTCCTTGAGCGTTTTCACAAACGGGTCCATGCCAGCATCTGGTTGTCTGCTCCCCCCAGGCTGCGCTGGAGCAACGGTCTGGTCCTGGGAGTTCCTCGCGGCGTCCGAGGTTGGTTGTTGTCCGAAGGAGATCCGATCCTCCTCGGACGGGTTTATGAGATAGACGCTACTGTCTAGAGCGGACCGTTGCACCTCGACGTATCTCCGAAGCCATCGCAGCACCTCGTCCCCGCCCCAGAACACACTCCCATCCTCCCCGAACGGATCAAAGCTCTCCCGGGTTCTCTTCTTCTTCTGCAGGATTGTCGACTCGCACTCGCTGTCGTGGAAGAATAGTGCGGGGAAGCTGTCCCCGGCGCGGGTGTTGATCACGAGGCTCCCAAACCACCATCCCAGACTTGGCGGTCGCACAAGGAGCGAATATATCTCTGACAGGGGCACGGCGAAGGCGTAAAGGCCTATGGGGTCTTTGTAGGTGGTTGTGGTGGGGAGGGCGGGCACGAGGTATTTCTGGCGCGGAGGGGAGGCATCGTCTGATAAGTCAACTTTGACGTAGGTGCTGTAGGCGTCGCCAAGGGAGGATTCCGGTACCCAGGCGAGGAGGTATGAGGAGATGTCCTTTGTGTGGTTGGTGGCGGCAGAGGTCCCGGAGGCATAGGGGAGAGGCTTTTGTTGGATCAGAGCAATAAAGCCAGGGATATTGTCTTTGGAGGAGGGAGTGGGGTGGACATAGACCTATGATGCTCGGAGAAAGGCGGGATTAGCTATATTGATAGCGACATTTGAGCATGGGGGGGGGGGGGGGGGGGGACGGACTTTGCTCTTGGAGAATAGAAGCTTGACCCCACGACGAGAGGCCGAGTGCGATATAGTGTTGTAGTCGTCCTCTTCATCATCGCTGACATCGTAGTAGGAGGCTGTGGGCGAAGGCGGCGAAGGCGGGGGCGTGTATTTGACTCGGTTGCCTGCCATAGTGATAGCTCGGTCGCACAGGGCTATAATATCCGATTTGGATTGACCGGTTGCAATGTGCTAGTGATAATCTCGGAGTATGCTGTGGTACAAATGTTGACCTGAAGGAGATAAGCTAAGTAAGTAGGAGGGATGGCAAAAGTCAGCGGACGGTCGGAGGGGGATTGCGGAGCAGAGAAGAGTGAAGGTGGGTGAAAGAGAGAGTCACGGCGGAGGGTCACGACGTAATCATCGGACGACCCACCTCGAAATTCCCATGTGATTCTCAACCAAATTTACCAGCTTTCTAGAATCTCTCCAGAAATATATGAACTTCAATGCGATTTAAACTGCGCAAGAGGTGTCTGCAACAGAATATTCAATGCTTGGAATTATAAAGTCATAGCAGAAGATGCATCTTCTCTCCTGACAGATTTCATCGCCACCGGCAGGAATCATGGCCCGCAGCCAGGCAGCAACTAAACCTCTCGATATTGCGCTCATTCAAGGCATCAGTCATTTGGTGAGCCAGAATTGATCTAGGCTTATCTGGAAGGATTACGAGTCTTCTGCCAAGAAACTAGAATTGCAGTGCCTTCTATATCTACTACTCTCCCCCGTTTACAGAATGCACGGATGTGTCTCAAGACATACTGTGAATCGCTCACTACCCTGGGTTTGGCAGCAGAGATCGAGCTTATGCTGCATGGCTTGTATCCGCGATTTTTTAATTGCCAATCTATCTGTCATCCGCCCAGTAGCACTCCAGCCTCCAGGGAGAGCTACAGTACAGTACATAAGTACAGGAAGTACATGTAGAGAACCATGAACACGGGATTTCATAACCTCTTCAGGAAACGATACGCCTGTCCAATGGAAGCTTCCGTGGCTGCAGGTCACCACTCCAAGACGCATTGCATCCGTATCTATAAGAAAGGAAAGCAGGTCGACAGCGAAAGCTTTGATGGATTAGCTGGTGCCATTCCTGATACTGACCTCAAAATCAACTCGAAAATGCCCGAACTCCATCGTACTTTGCCTGCATCCTGGTATCGTAGTCAAGGGCTCTATCAACTTGAACGGAGAGCCGTGTTTCTGAAGGCAAGAGGCCGTCTGCTTCAATTCTCACAAGCATCTAACCAAATCACGCTTCTAGTCATGGTATCTTTTAGGTCCCGTTACTCGATTCCGTGAGGTGGGCGCAAAAGTTGAATACGAGATCGCTCAGCGCCCGCTGGTTGCTTTTCGATGCTCGGGGGATGGCCCTTATCCTGATGCAGAGGAGATCCAAGTGCAATGCGCGGAGACTGTAAACTTCGATTTCCAACTCGGAACCGTACCGCGATTTTGAAACATAGCGCTGATAAGGCCACAGAAACGACCGCTCAGACATCATGTCACTCCCACAGGTCTGGTCTTCGCAGCCTTGGGGGACGAGGCCCCGAATTTTCACGAGTACTTCCCCGACCTGGAACTGTTGCTCCAGAAAGTGAACTTTACCAAGCTTCCATACCGACGCAGCGTCAAATATGAGGGTCGATTCAACTGGAAGACTATGTATGAAGTGGTTCAGGACAAGCAGATGCCGTCAGGAAGCTCGACTGATTGATGCTGAACCAGGGTGGATGGCTACCAAGAGTGCCTGCATTGCCAGTACACGCACCCATCCTTCTCCGTCTACTACCCCCCGACCTCGTACGCGGTGCACAACCATCAGAACTTCTCCCAGCACATAGCCGATCCCAAAAAGCCGGACGACGGTCTCTTTCTGTACTTTTTCCCGAACTGCACCCTGAATGTGTATGGCGGGGGCATGTCGTCGTTCCGCGTCTGTCCGACGGAGGATCCTCATGTGACGAGGATGGAATTCGACTACTACCACATGGAGTCGGGCGAGAAGTTCGAGCAGTACTATAAATTTGTTCGGCAGGTGGCGATGGAGGATTATGAGCTGTGTGAGAAGGCTCAGGATAACCTTGCTAGGGGCATTTATAGCGAAGGAATCTTGAATCCGGAGAAGGAGAACGGGGTGTCGTGTGAGTATACTGCGAAAGGTCTGTGGTTGCTGCGATGCTCATTTTTATCAGTCTATCAGGGTCGTGTGTTTGAGCTTGTGTGTGAGCAGTACGCTGCCGATCAAGCGGAGCAGGCAGGGAGTAAGAAGGCGATTGGACATAAGGAAGGAGCCGAGATGACTATGGCTGTTGTTGCGTGATACCGGGACTGAACGGTGCGAACATCCATAATAACTAAATGGGTGGTTTGCCAGCAACGTTTGAGGTCAGAGGCAAGAAAGATTGTCCCGTTATTGTCCATATTACGCGCAAGCAAGATAAGACCCTGTTCTTATTCAGTCCAATCATCAAACGCAGCTGAATTTAGACTGTCAATGACGGGTGACAATTTGGCACCGTAGACCCTGGATAGTCTCACCAAATGCGGCAAGTCAAAGAGGGGGCCCACGGTCACGGGTATAATTCAAGAAGCAGTCTAATTGTATCACAGCATGTCACTGTCCTACTGGCGCATACTGGTGGTTTATGCAGGTCGGTGGAGACGTATTCCAGCGCTCTGACCTCAGTGACAATTGAGCATCTATATAAACGCTCTTTCGCACCCAGGCTGGGAGTGGCATCTTTCTAGGACCTGTTTTCAACTATCTTTGTTCGTCATAATGGAAGCATCGTGCTCAGTAGCTCCACCAGCTTTATCAACACCTCTAGTAGTTGGACTGCTAGTCGGGTTAGCCTTATTGTCCCAGACCTGGACTCGTTCCTTTCTCCAAACCGGCTTCAAATATCCTCTCAGGCAAACCAAGCTTCTTCCTCCCGAAGTGTTTCCAGAGCCCGAAGAGCCCATCGCGATCGGCAAAGAATCCGAATACCCTGCCGATTGGTGGACAGGAGTTAGCACATATGAACTCGAACGTCGCGCAGTCTTCAGTAAAGTAACCACCCCTCTCCGTCCGTCTCCTTCTCTCAGGTATCTAACACCTCAATCTCAGCATTGGCTCTGCCTCTCGCACCGCAGTCAATTCTCCAAACCAGGCGACTACCACGCCTTTACTGTCGCCGGATTCCCCATATTCCTGATTCTAGGCAAGGACGGCAAGCTCCGGGCCTTCCACAACGTGTGCCGCCATCGCGCATACCCGGTCACCCGGAAGGATCGCGGCTCGTCCACTGTTCTCGGCTGTCGGTACCACGGCTGGAGCTACAACAGTCTCGGGCAGCTCATCAAGGCGCCACATTTTGACGGGGTGACGGGGTTCGATCGCGCGCAGAATGCCCTGTTCGCTGTGCATACCTTTACGAGCCGGGCGGGCTTCGTGTTTGTGAACTTGGATGCCAACTTGACGGTCCCGCCGCCGGAGGTAGGGTTGCTTGATGAGTTTGCAGGGTCTGGTGAGATTGCACCGCGGTCGAGATGGGAAGGTAGGCAGACGGTTGAGGGTCAGGTCAATTGGAAGTTGTGTAGTAGGTAATAACTCATCCGAGGATTGGAGTTGTATTGCTGAGAGTGCTGTGTAGTGAGGGTTGCCGAGTCTTTGATCGAGAAGGGAAGTATAAGGAGTGCGGAAATCCAGCGCAAGTTCCCTTTTTGGTTGTTGGATAGGCTTGGGCACGCACAAGAGGGCGACGAAAGCATAAGCGTCTTCCCGATCACGACAGTCAAGACAATTGAGAGGACGGCATATTGGTTCACACTGACCTGCATCCCGGTGTCTGCGCAGAGGACTTCTTTCCGACTTGATTTGTACAACAGCAGCAGCAGCAGCAGCAGCACGAGGGTCTCTGAAACTGAAGCTATAGCGCAGGAGGCGGCTAATCAGCTCCAGAAAATAGTTGCTGAGCTGGAAACAGCATATCGCTCCAACCTTGAGAATACTAGGTATGACTCCACTGGTTCCATCACGATCAAAGTTGATAACTCGGTTTCCGCTAGCTCCGCATGCGTCAATCCTCAATCAGCTGCAAAGGATGCAGGTCAGTCGGCCAGTTAGCTTATTGAGACAGGACGTGCGAGAATCTTATCTGACGACATCCTGATAGGCACGCAACAAGCTGTCCTTGATGCACTGAAGGCCCATCTAAAGTTGGAAAGGCAACAAGGAACCGAAGTGTTCTCCGCCATGAGGAAGCCCAGGGAGAATGCAAGGCTTGCGCAGGCGGAGCAACGTAAGCCATATTCAGCCATAACCCTTGCTTGAGTAGATAATCGCTGACACAGTCGAAGTTTGCAAGGAGCTGGATTGTGTAGATCGAGGCCAGGACATGTCCTGGTGAGTCTGTACTGGAGAGATCTATTGATGTTAGTAGTTTCATTCACGATGATCAAAGGTATTAATTAAAGCAACCTGAAATGCGTTGCGCATGGTAGATTCAATGGCCAAGACATCCTCCATGTTGATAAGAGTGCTTAGTGGATTATATAGTGTACATACTTGCATTCTAGACCGTGCGGGTACCTCACTTTTGAGCGCAGACCCTGACTCTAGTGGTTTACAGTAAGGTGTGGTGGGCCCGGATCGAATTGACCAACAAGAATGAAGTCAGTCGGTCAAGGATCCGCTGGCGGCGTGTAAACCTTCCTTTTTCTCCCACCCCCACAGCTCCCTCCCCATACCTGCTCGTCATCGCCAAGTTACATACCCACTACTAAAACCTACCCCCCTGTCCGTTCGATTTTTTCTTCGTGGTCATATCTCTACTTCCTACCAAAGCATCCCTTGAAGCTTGATCATATATTTGGCTTGTGGATGGGCACTCCTTGATTGAAATCCTCAGCTACCCCAATCGGTCACAGCGCTAGGAGCCCAGATTAAGCGACTCCACGTGGCCTAGAACTACACGTCACTTCAGCCTTTCTTCGATATCGTCATGGCACTTCCCCCGATAGCCAAGGCAACTTTACAAGCCGCAGTAATCAATGCCGGTTCCAACGTCCTAGCGCAGGCGATCGGCGCCTACAAAGATGAAGTACGTACGGTCGCAATGTTCAGCTGTATGCGCCGCAAGGACTTGGGTTTTCTCCAGATGATACCGAGTCTGCAGCTGCAACGTAGCTAACACGACCCTACAGAGACCCTTTGAGCTTGACAGCCAAGCACTACTTCAGTTCACAACGTCCGCATTCATCCTCTCGCCCCTAACCTTCCTCTGGCTCGAAGGACTCGAGGCCAGGTTCCCTGGCCAGAAAGTGGTTCCGGCACCAAAGGCCAAAACGGAGGGTGCTGCAGAAGCGCAGACCAAACTGAACGTGACCAACACCGTTCTGAAGATCGTCATTGACCAGGTGGTGGGCGGTGCCTGGAACACTGTCGCCTTCATTACGACGATGGGGCTCCTGCGTGGCCAGGACTGGGAGACGATCACGCAGCAGATTCAGAATGTATGGTTGCTCCACCTTCGAAACAGCATAAAATCCCTGAATGGGCGATGGACTTGCTAACCCCTCCTGACTAGGATTTCTGGCCGATCCTGGTCGCGGGTTTCAAACTTTGGCCCTTTGTGTCAGTCTTGAACTTCACGGTGGTACCAGTGGATAAGCGACTGCTTGTTGGGAGTCTGTTTGGTGTTATCTGGGCGGTTTATCTTAGTCTTATTTCTGGTTAGATATGTTCTCATTTTGAGTGCATTTCTTGGAGCATGCATCTTCGACAGGGAGCACATACAACACATATCGAACAATGTCCAGGAAAGCATGCCATGTGATAGCCTTCGCTTTTTTTTTTTTTTTTTTTTTGGCACAAACCAGGCGGAAAAGACGTTGTTCATCAATGTTGTGAGCAAATGCGGCTTGATTGGGTGCCGCCAGATATGCTGGTCGTTTTGGAGACCCAGAAACATTGTGTGGTGAGACTATAGAGAAATGACGCCTTTCTGTATGGTTGTGTCTGTGGGGAAATCCCTTGGCGTCACGCTAAGCGTTCTGGTTGGAGGCTTCGGTCATGGATGATATTCGAAGCAGCATTGTTAGTTGCGGTACTCTACGCTGAAACAGCACGACAATGCAATCACCCTGATTCTTGCGACTCAGTCGAAGAATTGATTCAGGATTCAACCAACAATGAAGTGCACCTTATACCTGGTCCCCATCTTAGGGCCATCTAAAGGCGCCGTAGCAGAAGCTAACTCAAACTAATGTCTTTGAGTTTCATAGTTGATCTGGGGGCGAAAACATCTTCCCACATTTACAGGTACCATTGTCACCTGGTAACCTCTCCAAAGCAGCAAGCATGATTCAGCCCTGCTGCTGTCAAGTTTTCAGCAAGCATCTTTTCCCAGCATGCAGGAAGAGGACCATGCCTGGTTCCGAGCGGGAGTCCCTGGAGTATAACCCAATTCGGTATGGTGGAGTGGAGCAACCCTCTATTTATAGGAGGAACAACTGTCAGGTTCCATGCCAGTAGACAAGTAGAGTAGGAGTATCTGTAAGCCATGCCATGTCAAGTGATCCTCTGAACCTTCCAGGCTGGCTACGCCGTACAGTGACCCGCAAGACCCAGAGAGATGTTTGCCCGGCACTGATAATCGAGGCTTCAAGGCCGTCGATCTTTACCGAAAAACAAATCAAAGCAAGCAAGCCAGCCTTTGCTCTGAAAAGGCGTTGGCTGATTTTCAACTGTTCAACGGTGTGGCGGTTTGATCACCGTCCTGGAGAGGGATGCATGAACTCATCGTAGGTGCTTACAGTCTGATCCGACCCTGCATGAGAAAGGTGTTAAGGCTTAGAGCCATACCCTATCTCTTTTAAGATATTGCTCTTGGGTCAGAGTTGGTTGATTTCTCAACAGGGGGGCTGGATCTTTCCCGTGACTTTATGCAGGTCTTACATGCCGGTGTTCGAAAGTCTCAAGCGTGACGCTCTGAATACCTACACTTGACTTCTCTCCGGGTTGAGAAGATGCAACAAACTGCTCCAGGGGCATGTTGGGGAGAGTTTTATGCTATCGGAATCCGTTCAAATACAGGGACAAGCCAAGTCTCGCGTACAGTACAGACTACGGAGTGCCTGGGAACTGAAAAGAGTGTGTGGCACTGCCTCTTGATCCAGCCAGGAGATAAGTGCAGTGGCTGCGACATACGAAAAGTACATGTACATGCGGAGAAAGACACCGTGCAGTCTGCATCCTTGATACCCGCCGTACGGTACGGTAAAACCAGGCTTGCCAGGGATGGTTGAAGTTCCGATGGCTGAGCAGCTGGCGCAGCCAACATTTGCATTTCTGGTTTACTCGCGTTGGGTATGATCCGTTCTCTACTCTAGTCATGTAGATTTTACTATCTTTATCTACATTGATTCAAGAGTCTGCACTTGCAAGAATGAAGCCAGATGAATATTCTATGCTTACCACCCCCACCACTGTTCCTGCTTTGGTACGTACGGTGTGGTATTGTCTTTTTGGCCCCCGCGGTTCGACAATCCCGTCCTTCCCCATCCATGCCCGTGCCTTTTCCTCCCTCGTGTCGTGTTGTGTATTATCCACCTCCCGCCTATCAGCCTGCATGCTCATTAGTTGTTTACGCTGGCGTCATGTCGTTAGCACTTCACCTAACCTCTGCTAGACTCCTTCCTTACTTACATTCCTGGGTAAAGGGGGGGGTCGGAAGAAGTCGTCTCTCCTGCACGTGGAGACTAGACTTGCGTTGCTTTCTTAATCTTCTTTTATCCCACCGTCGCCCCCGCGCATTCAGTCGAGTCCCCTCACCCGAGAAGAACCTTGTCCGACTATCTACCTGAGTATCTGTCAGCAATACCTATTTCTTGCAAGGTCAGTTCATTCGCTGCTACCTGTCGCACACTCGACGTTAGAGCCTGGATGATCATTTATACGTTCCCCCTGCAATCTATTGTTTACCCCGAATTATCCGTCGGCGATAGTAAGCTGACTCTCGAATACGGGAATAAGGTCCATAAGTCGAGTGCGCTCAACTTACGAAAGCTGCCTACCATTCCGACTCCTCTTTCCTCGATCAGATACCTCGCTACTAGGTTCTGACTTAACACGCCAATTCGAAATTATCTCTTCTGTGTTCGAAATCGGTCCATAGGACTTAATTCGGAACGAGCGCAGTGTGACGGACAGGGAACCCCTCCGACGGTCGCATTAACCATGCCTGAGGGGCGGCTGGCATAAAGTACGTCCACGGCTGTGCGGTGTGGATTGACGCACTCGGTTTGCTCAACGAAGGTCAAGTGACTCCCAAAATATCTACTCTCTTATCCAGATCCCGAGTCTGGTATCATCTCGAGCGGGGCTCGGGTGGTTGTGACACCTAAGACACGAAGGTCGTTGCGGTTTTCCGAGATGAACACACTAGAGACGCTCGGTCACGCCTCTCAGCCAGCTGGGGTCAAAATGTTCAATATTCATGATCTCCACGGTCTAGACAAATCTAAGTCGGAGGATGCATCCTGGTCAGATATTGCGGAGGACGATGAAGACGACGACGACGAATCGATTTCACCCATGTTTGACAAGCCGCCATCGTGGTCAGGAACGCGCTGGGCTCGCTTCTTCCCGGAACTTGCTTCCCACTTTTCCCTGGCGGCTCCTACAAGCAATAACGCTCAAACACCATCGAGAACGAAGAGTGTTTTGACTCGTCCCCTGGACTCTCCGACGAGCTTGAAATCATCCGACTCGTCGGAAAGCAAAGGTCGACCGCCCTCTGTATCATCAGAAGAGACCACAGACAAACGATCGTCAGGATATACCCTAAGATCTTCGATCACGAGCCAAAGCTCCCTGAGCTTGTCTTCCGGGCGAGATTCTCCGTATTCAGTTCATGCTTCCTCACCCGATCTGTTGGGATCCTTCGAAGGCGATGTAACGTCACAGAATTCCCCACTTCGGACCATATCCAGGCACTCGTCAATAAAGGAGTTGAGAGACAAACCACTTCCCAAAGAACCGTCATTCCAAGTGCCACCATTGTTGGCCCGCCACAGATCCCACCACTTGGCCAGAAGCCGTGACACTGGGCATAGCAACTATAGGTCTCTAAAGTCACCCTCGCTGCCTGATATTCAGGAGAACTATCATCGTCCGTCGCTGTCCAAAGCTGCCGGACCACCGGAACAGAGCATGACTCGTCTCACAGAATCGCAGCAAACAAACACATTTACTTCCCATAGACATCTACACTACTCTGGTGGGAATTTGCAGATGCGTAGAGAAAGCATGGGCACGATGGCTACAAGGCTAAGACCAATGTCTCCTATGAGTATCCATGATGTGCAGCAGGCTGTTAAAGCTCAATCCCGCGAGGGGTTGAGTCTGACAAAGAAAGACTCCAAGAACAAAAGGCCGTTCTCTTTTGGTTTGCCGGGCCTCAACCACTGGTCTAGCCGACCCGAGTTTCTACCTTCTGGTAGCCCTTTCACCGCGTCAGCACAAGACTCCACTTCGCACTCATCTTATCTTACTCGAGATGAGGACAAAGGTGAAGTTGCCGAACTTCCCGGTTCCCCTGTTACAGTTTCGAATATTACCCCAGCATCCAATGACAGCACGCAGGAGCTATTTCCAACAGTGTCGTCCCTGAAGACAAAGGGAATTGGCGATTCCGGTTTCATGGGGCCGGCACCACCTCAGTCCACAGCAAAGAAAATGAACGAGAGTGCCAATCATAGTCCGAGATATATTAAGCTGAATGATGCGTTTGTTGAGGGATCGTCAGAGAAATACTTTGTGTCATACAGCAAGTATGGGAGCGTGGCTACAAATACGTCTCGACGCCGAAATGCTTCGCAGGCTCCGACCATATATGAGCTCGATGCCAATCCTGCCGTATCGCAAAGCAAAAAATCAAGCGACACTACGCACACTAGTCAACCCCTTCCAGAAGGAATGCGCAACACATTGCCTGAGGCTATTGTCCTAACGATTTTGCGACAAGTTGACTCGCTCGATGACCTCTTTAGTATTTCGTTGATCTGCAAAAGCTTCTACCGCGCGTTCAAAGACCATGAGTTGGAGTTAATCAAGAACGCTGTTTTCGCCATGTCGCCACCTGCGTGGGAATTGCGCGAGATGAGTCCCCCCTGGGGTACAGAGTGGCAGGTACTCGTTGACCCCGATGCTCCTGTCCCCGAGTATACTCCGGCCCTCTACCTCAAACACTACGCGCAGGATATCTGTACCGTCGCCCAGCTGAAGTCCATCATCCTAGCCCGATGTTCGTCGTTTTTGCGACCGGATACGATTCGTGGGCTGTCTGGCCTCGACGATGTCTGTGCGACCGAGGTTGACGAAGCCTTCTGGCGGGTCTGGACGTTTTGCCGTTTATTTGGCTGCGGCAAGCACAGAGAGGGTGATATCGCCGGACAAATGGCATGGCTTGAAGGCGGGGTAAATGCCACCGATCAGCGTGTCTCTGTGGCACAGTCGATCACTGATCATTTCGACATGGGTAGCGTCTTGTTTGAGCCGCCCATAGGGTTTGGACGTGGTAACACGGGCGGTTTATCGCAGAGGCAGCTACATAGCATGACTGAAATCTGGACCTGCCTTGGCGTACTGCTTCAGCCCATGCATGGAAAAGTTAGGATGGCACGAGAGGTGGGAGTGTTTGAAGGACACAATGTGAAAGAAAATGCCACTGCAAAGGAGGAAGCAGTTCTAGGTAAGTCGATAACCTGCTCTGACTGCATCCTTGATCTTGAATATGTTTAACTAAGCTAAAATGGGGCATGAATAGAGGAGTGGACCCATTATATCCTTACGCTTGGTCTATCAGCAGTATTGACCCTCGGGTCGATCACAACGGACGAGAATACCGTTTTGGCTAATTTCCGGAAAGCCCAATCTTTGGGGCTGACGAACTGGCTGTCTTCGGACACCGTTGCCACCCGGTCATCGTTCTTGCGGGACGCTGTATCGAAAGCTTATAAGCCACGGGGAGGGACCCGCTCCGAGTCGTCATCCTCCCGAGCACCTAGTCCGTTCAATAACTCCCCTTTGAGCGACAACCCTGTGACAGGTAACCCTTCGCTGGACATGCAGCGCCGCAGACAAGCAGCCTACTCGGTGCAGCTCAAGTTTCAGAAACAGCAATCCATGAACCTGCCCAAGCCACCTCCGCTCGTAGAAGAGCGACCGATTTCCCATTATGAAATGATCATCAGTCGCCTAGAAGCTCAATCACGCGGGCCAGCCCGAACGGAGAGCCTGGTCTCTCCTCCACGGCCCAGTCCCACCGTGCCAGCCCCAAACCAGCGAAGCACTGCGCCTGTTTTTCGACACCCGCAAGTCCAAGACCCAACGGACAAAGCCATGGATCTGCTGGTTCGAGAGCTAGGCTTCAAGGAAGAAGACGCCAAATGGGCCCTGAAGATCACAGACAGCGGCGAGGGGATCAATGCCAGTGCCGCGGTCTCCTTGCTCAAGCGGGAGCACCGGAATCGACAAGAAGGCCAAGGACGTCGAACTCCACCCAGTGACAGTCTCCTGTCGTCGGTCATCAACAGTCCTGAGTCCAGGACTTCGGGGTGGAAATGGGCCAAATCGTTGTAGGTGCATATATTGACCGAGTTGGGAAGGGATTTGGGTAATTCGGAGTTTTAGTCTATCAGGATGGTTGCTCGTATCAAGCACTAGCCTTGCATGTTGGAGTTTCTTTTCTCAGCCTCGGTGTTCTTCTGTGTGGGGTTGATACCACCGTCTTTACATTTTTGTATACTGTCTCATTGATTGCAGGTCTGCGATGTGATGACGGATTCATGAGCCCTGCCTGACATGTAGAAATACTATCAGTTATGTGAATACAAGGGAGTACAATAATGGATGTTTAGCGTAAAGCTCAATCTTACCCGTGACTCCCCTTTCAACAGCCCAAGTAGGCAAGATCTATCCAGGTCAGGTCCATTGACTGCAGTGGCAGATTATTGCTGCAGCCGCTCCGCTCACATGGTTGCCATACATAACTACTCTCCACGAACCGAGACCACGAGAACTTAACTCAACGTATTCACAAATTTCGAACAGAACCAGCACAAATGAATGTGTCATCCAGAGAAACCGCCACCGTCAAACCGGCTGCCTCACCTGCCGCGCCCGTCGCGACAAGTGCCGACCCAGCTGTCTCTGCCTCCGCCGCGAAACAGCCAGAGTCGAATACCATGGTTACGAACCTGACACCGGGATGGATCACTCTTAGGTGTAACAATTGTGATCAATAGTGTGAGCTGAACAGGTGGCCATGCGGGGTTTCGACGCATCCGTCTAGAGAAGAAGAATTGAGCTAGTCAACTGTGCTATTGGCTCTTGACATAGCGGATTAACAAAGGACGAATTCATCGAGATTGCAAACATGAAGCCGGAATCCATCATCCTTGCTGTCATCGTACCATTGGCACTCTCCACTGCTGTGCCCGACAAGAAAGATATTGACATTGATGACTTGAACCAGAAAGAAGTCCTTGATCCGCCTAAAGTATGCAAGCTTAAGGCTCCACGACAGCACTGGACTTTTCCTTGCGCTTGTTCAGAGGATTCTGGAACCTGGACCAAGAGTTCAAACATTAGGCTTGTATGCCACAGCAAGGACAAATTTAATAAGTGAGTGATCGAGTTTTCTGCGCCGGGTCCGGAAATATGATGATCAAATACTCAATTGACATCGGGCAGCTGGTGGTATCAGACCAAAGCCGGAGAATGGGTCCAAAACATGTTTGGGCAGTGCGAGAGTAAGTAGCCTATCCATACCTGTCAATACTATTGAGCTGCTTCAATATCACTGATTCTTCTCATATCAGATCCTACTGCTATCAAAGGCCAGCCAGACTGCGAACTCTAAGCACCAAGCCAACTTTCAGCCGAGATTCTGCTTAACCGAACAACTCATCAATAGCACAAACTTGAATGAGCCCGCTACATCGCTTTAAGATGTCTATTAAACAAACCTCAATCCACCAGAAGCAACAAGTATTAACAAAAAGTTGTTCCTGTGTTGAACCAACTAGGCAAGGAAGGTGTTTTTGACAAGGCTTGGCTCTCAATAAGTTCCTTCAATTGTACTGTTACTGAATTTCGCTCCCGATACTCCAAATATGAATCATGTCGTATCAAGTGACCGATGAAGTGTATGAAGATGAAACCCGTAGTGATGTACTATCTATCGTCATTAGAAGGACTCCAGTTACACACAAGTCTAGCTTGAAACCACCTAGAACAATGGACTCGCTGCCAGGCTAGATACCTCTAATACAAGAGGCCTCTCCGCGGACCTCACAAAGGCTGAAAACCTCATGTCCATAGCCCCAAGCCCCAGCCTCTCTGACCACAGATACACGACCACCAGGAACGGGATCACGACTGTAAATGCACCTCCCACCGCACACACATCCCCGTATTCTTCACGACGTTTCTCCACGGAGGAATCGTTTTTCCTTGGTTCAACAACCCTTTCTACCTGGTGGCCGGGTCGGTCGGCACAACGTCATTAGTTAACCCTTCTTAGTCGACTGATTTTCCGCGGCCATGAAGGCGTGGCTAGTACAGGGAGTGAGCCGAGCAGACTGGGCCTGGTCGTTCTTCTTGGGTTGTACTCCGTAGTGCGCACCTGGATGGGAGACTAGAAGCCCAAGGAGGTTCTTAGAGATCAAGGTGTAGAGTTTCTATTTTAAGTGGCGTGGAAGTAGCCCTAGAGATAGCCCGATCCGGATTGACTCCTACGAGTTGACGTAATACGAGCACGGGTGGCTGTACAGACATTGGTAAGCCAGGTCGAGGGATATCTGAATAAGTGACCGATTGCTCGTTCTGGCCTTGTCACTGCATGGATCATCCACCTTCGAAGGGACTAAAGGGTTGTAGCATCATCTATTCAACTCAAACATCCCCAGGCAGTGATTGTCAACCATCGCCCTGGAACGACCTCGGGTAAAGAAGCATTAGATATAGATTGGAAGATCCTTGTGGCAGGGTCAGTCAAACCTTGTGTTTGCATGGCTTGGACGCCCCCTGTCCTTACCAGCGGGAATTGTGCGTCGCACACTTACACTTTGCTAGGGATCTACAGAGCAGCGTGAAGTGATTGCGTGGTATATGCAAGAATCTGGTTGACCTTAGATGACAGCTTTTCAGTCAAGCGACGCATTGATAGACAGACAATCCGGTCGGCATTGCGCGATAAGGGCTGAACTTTAAAGCTGCCCGCCCATCGGCTCCCTTCAGGTACGGTTCCAAGTACAGTACAAGAAACAAACTCTAGGACTCTTGTCTCAAAGCGCTAGTAAACCTTCAATAAGAGAAAAGAGTATTCATGGGAAGATTCTAGCGTTATTCGCCATCCATTCTTCGAGGGCTTTAGCTAGATGTACCTGCAGATTCTGTCTCATCAAGTCCAGAATTTGGTAGCTCAGAGAAAAGGTTTGGAATGTGCTGTGCGATCTTGAGGGTTCAGGATCGCGTCCGATCACGGCCGATTCGATAGGAGAATGATAGAGAGCCACCACAATCAGCTTCCTGCCACGCTTCTGGAAGACAAAAAAAAGGGTTCCCAAGCCAGGACACGACTATTGCCGGAGCTATCTTATAAACCGGTCAATTATTGGCAAAATCGGACCCGCGTTGCCGGATTTGTGATATATCACTTGTCCTTCGGGAAAACGCGCACTCGAAACGCGTCGATCGCGGAACGAGGAAAGAACAGTTCGATTTCTTTCCCCCCAGACCCAATATGACAGATGAATGGGCCACGGAACTCTCAAAATCTGATCTATCGGGTTCGTTTAGTCTGTTCGTGGAAGTGGTTCAGTCATGCGGTGAACGATTGACAAGTTGCTGAGATGTGAGCTGCTTGTATCTCCCGGCTCCTGGAGGGAGAAGAAGCTCCATGCAAGGGGGGTAGTCTGTTATTGGAAGGGGAGCGAAACGAGGGGAGCAGCTCGAAAAAAGGTCGACAGACATTTTTGTAGACTCTGTATGGAGATAGGATACAATACGAGAGGAGAGGATGGAAAAAGCAACAAGTGAAGTGACGTTGGATGGTGAAGCAAGAAGGAGACCGACACCCCCTCTCTTCCCTCCTTCCCTCTTCTTTCTTCTTCCCTCCCACCACCACCACCACCACCACCACCACCAGTCATCACCACCAAAACAACAGAACACAACCACCGCATCCACCTTCATTCAGCCCGCTTGAAACTTCGTTTCCACACGACCCATGCGAGGGATGATGAGTCCCGACCACGCTAGAGCCGACCCTCTCTCCCCCCAGTTCCTCCTTGAAACCACCCAAGTATGCGGCACTACCGTTTACTGTGGGAAGGAAGGACGAATCCACCGAGTTTGACCTGCATATGTATGCATGGAGCATGTATGCACGCGCCAAAACCTTCGGCCTTCCAGTTCATTGAAAATGACGCCTCACCCACTCTGGCCTTGACGCTTGCTTTTCTCTTTCAAACTTTGTCTACTTGACACTCGAAACAGTCGTCATTTCTCGACGCTGTCTGTCTCTGTTGTGTCTTTTTGTCGAACCCTCACGTCCTCCCTCCTTTGTTCGGTACCCCTCCCTCTCCTCTTGCCCCCAAGATGGCTGTAGATTATGCTTCCTACACAAACACGGTGCATAGGTGAGGACACCCACCCTACATCGCAGCAGCAGCTCATTAATGGTCGGTCAGCAACGTCATTGACCAGCAACTATCACCGACGGATGCGAAGCGGCAGTACGACAAAGAGATCATCCTCGGCAATTCTGCCCACGGCGCCCCCAGCAGACTATTCCACACCAAGACCCGCATACTGAGAGGTTCAGACGTCCTTTTATCGTTGGCTGGCAGATCCACGAATGGTGCGTTATCGTCCTCGGATACCGACATTGCATGACAGACAGTCTGGATTGTAATCGCAACTAACCTAATCTCAACCTCAGCAGAATCGACAGATGATGTACAAGCAGGGGTAGAGAACTTTAAGAAAGTCTTACATTTATTCCCACCTTTTCACGATGACGATGGAGACACATTCGGTGCTGAGGATATTGAATGTCCTGACTGCGATGCGATATTCTCCTCACCGTACGACTGACTGCCTTTTTATGAGTGGTAGATGAACGGGATCTGACTAGCATACAGCAACGAACTGAAACAGCACTATTTGACGAAATACTGTCCCGGGACCGCAGTCGCGGTATACGTGATGACTCGAGATCGGTATTGTTCCCTGTATACCGTCTCTTCCGGATACCAGTATACTGATGGCGCATTCCATTGCAGATTGATCACCAAAGGCTATCGTATGGAGAAGCGTCTGATACCAGTCAACTGTCGCCCGATTCGGTTCTTCTGCGACTACTGTGATAAGATCTTTACCTTCGGGGAGGAGGATGAGAAGCCAGATCGTCAACCTAGTACGGATTCATGCTGTCGTCTGTTGGAAAGGCAACTGACAGGCTGTCGCAGATGCGTCTCTCTATGTCAATTGCAAACATTGCGGAGAGAAGTGCAATGTCTCGTATGTTATGCCTTGAGCCTCGCGTTTAAATGTCTTATGACAAGTACTCACTTTAGTGCTAGGTATCAACCTATATTGAACGATCCCCGCGATGACATCAGCCCACGCGACATACAGAGGGAGATAGGGAATGTCTGCCACAGTCGAAGTCCCAGTATAGCTCAGAGACCATCAATGGGCTCGAAGTTCCCGGTCCCCCCGGGGACGAATATGGATCAGCAGTCCTTTACCAGAAAAGCGAGGAAGTTACGAGATTCATGGTCATTCCGAAGTCTGTTGGCCTTCCCCGCCCCGTCATTGCAGGCCTCGTTTGCTGACTCGAACTAGAGATGTCACAGAGTGATGAAGATGAGCTGATCGCCATTAGCTTTGCCGGGTTATATGATTTAGAACGAGGTAAGAGCCCTTTGATCTGGCGGGTTCGAGCTACCACTGACCAAGCAGTTCACGCGCCGAATGGCATATACCACCAAATAGAAAATAATAACGAAAGCCAAATGAATCAGTCAACGATGAGCTTTGATTCAAATGGTAGATCCACATGATATGGAAATTAGGTGTCGATGCATAATCTAACTTTGTATCCAGGACTGAATGACGCTTTATTCAATGAACCAAGGAAGATAATGTGTGAAGACGAAGACCGGCATACTTCGAATGAAGATGGATTGATGGATGATACGAATGATCAAAAAGCACAGCCTACATCATCCCGAAGACAATCCTTCTTACAGAGATTGTTTGGACGAAAAGTGCCAAAGGGTTCGTACGCAAACGTCCACGATTCACGTTGAATTCTGACGGTTCATAGGAGTGTCAAGAGCACGATCCGCCAGCAGCCGTGGCAAGAACATAATCAGAAGAGCAAATACGATACGTTTCTCATTTGTCACCAAGTACACTCGGAGCGAAAGCCGAGCGACAAGCCGAGCGACAAGCCGAGCGACAGCGCGTACAAGCGAAAGAGACTCGATAGATGCACGCACGCAGGAGACCACGGAGCCGAAACACGAATCCGCCGCAGATGCTGAGTACATTGCCTTGCTGCGGAACTCCCAGAACGTTTTCATCCATACTCAGTATATCAACGGTGGTGCTGTCGTTCATGATGCTTCTGGCCGCCAGCGTATCATCAAGATTGACGAGGTTGCGCAGGTCTTCTTACATATAAAAGAGGAGCTATCTTCCGCAAACTCTTGGTCCCGTATGCTAACCACCAGGATGCGAGCCGAGAGCGCGTTAAAGCAAGGGAACGGACAAGCAGCAGTAGTTGAGTACCATGATGCTTTAAAACTTCTCGAAGATGCGCCGGTCCTGGACATTGACAAACAATCGCGGGCGACAATGTTGCATGCTTTGGGCCAAGCTTATCACGGTCTGGATATGGCTGCAGAGTCTGAGGCATGCTATCTTGAGGCCCTGGGACTTTACAAGCGTACATACGGACGCGATCATCCCAAGAACTTCGCGCTTCTGCATGATCTAGGAGCCCTTTGCGAGAGGGACGGATATGCTACAGAGGCGTCGGCTTTATACGAGCGATCGTTCGCAGGTCGGCTGAAGACACTCGGGCACAACGCCCCGGACACATTGAGTAGCATGCAGGATCTTGCCTCTTTGAAAGTGCACTTGGGCGATCTCGAATCTGCCCTTCTTTTACTCGAGAAGGCGGTTCCGGCGCTTGACACTGTCTTTGGCCTCCAGAACGCAACAACTTTGAATGCAATGAATCAACTATCGCACTTGTACCAAAAGCTTGGCCTGAACAAAGAGGCTCGGACGATTTGCGGGCGGACCATTCCTCACTGCAAATCATTCTTTGGTATAGTGAGCCCCATCACCAGGGAGGCAGTAGTGCGGTATCTCCAAAGCTCCGACAACTTCGATTTCCCTATCGAGATCAAGGAAATCCTCGATTATTATCAACACTCGCGTGACCAGGACGCACTGAGGGTTGTTCATCGTTTGGGGAGGTCATTCATGGACGCCGGCCTGAATCGCGATGCGGCCGATTTGTTCGAGGCTCTGGTCGAAGACTTTCTCGCTGCCAAAGGCCCTGAAGCCCCGGAGACATTCGATGCTCTGAGCGCGCTTTGCGTTTCTTGGGAGCACCTCGACTCGGTGGACAAAGCCATTCTCGCGTACAAACAGCTTGTACACATGGCTAGCAGAACACCCGAAGACCACCACGCTCGGAAGCGCATAACTTACGCGGAAAAGAGGATTTCGGAACTCAACCGACGGCGCGATACTCTCGCAGCGGAACGAAAGGAATGGAGTCTCCATGAGCCAGCAGCGTGTGAGAGCTGCGGCGATCCCACGACTGTACTATGCAAAAGTAAGTGCCATTCATATCAGCAATTGGAAAAGTAGTGAAGCTAACAATTAACTCCAGCATGCAGAATCTTTCGCTTCTGCAGCGAGTCCTGCCACAAATCTGGCATTGACGCTCATCTACCACTCTGCATCCCCTCTGTGTCGCTCCGTGAATCTAAATCCCTAGCCGTCAAGCCCAAATGCCCCGTTTCGACGCGCGACCAAGCTCTCGCGAAGATCCGGAGTCTCGACAGCACCAAGCCCGTCAACATCACCGCAAGCTTCACTTTCTACCTGGATCCGCGCAACTTCACCACCTTCCGCATGAAACTCAACTCCAGGGCCAACACCATCATCCTCTTTTCCCTTGACACCGACATCCGCTACACCATTCTTGACGCCCTCCCACCACCATCCAGCCACAAGTCTCACCCCGGCAACACCGCTCCCCTCTCCACCAAGTCCACGGGGGGCGTCAACTGGATCTCCCCCGAGCGCCAAGAATCCATCGTCTACGTCCCTCCAACGTCCGACGCGGACGCCACCCAAAACGCGCAAGACGAAGCGCGCTACGTTCTTGTCACTCCGGGTAAGGAGATGCTCCGCTCCGTCATCGACAAGCGGGTGCGGGTGCGCGGCAGCTCTGGCGAGAAAGAGCGGTTCCAGGCCCTCGACCTGCCCAACCACGAACTCATCGAGTATGCCCAGGGCCTCTTGCTGACGGGATACTTGGGTGAGGCGTTCATGTATGTTCTCGAGTGGGTTTGACACAAACAACACTTTTGATTCGTTTCTTCTTACTTAGCGAGACCTTTTGTGTTTTTCTTTGGGGCAGTGTTGATTTGAGCATGGGATACACTCTTTTGCAAATGAATGATTCTTCTTCCTTTCTTGGTTGTGTTATATACATATATACTTGGATAATTTAATATGTGCCGTACATTCCTCCACGTAGGATTGGGGTTGGAAGAAGAGTGAATGCAGCTTTTCACCCCTTAAGCTTTCGTCTGTCAAGGTAGTGGTTAACTTGTGATGATGAGCAAGATACTATTAACAGTGGTATCATTGATACAAATTTAGAAGTATGGGATCCAAGAAACACAGAAGGGAGATCCACCGACGTCGGTAAGTACACTTATTGCCTCCTTGGTCATTCCCTTTAATCACTTCACTGCTCCAATTTCATCCGGGGTATAGGTCAGGCGGCCAACTATCAATCCGCAAGGCAGAGTGCTTTGCTTTTCTTGAGATTGCTCCCCATTCTTTTATGGTAGGGGACGGAGATCCCAGGGTCTTTGAGCGTGTGTGTACACTTCCGAAGGGTTGCGATTCTAATATTGGGGAGGCATTCTAGTTGTCGAGCAGGCTATTTGCTCCCCTTTCTCCTTTTATTGGGGGCTGGAGGGAGAGCTGGTGAAATCTGGAGCACTTGTCGGATTACCTCGGTGTGGTTGGGATTGGGGTGCGGGGAAAGGAAGTGATGTTCGGTGCCATCGTGGCTGCACGAGTAGGACGAATGCGATTTGTTCTTTTGTTTCCGTCCATAGGGCAAGAGATGTCATTCTTGTGTGTGTAGAGTCATTGACTGTCCTATCCTGAGATAATTGAGTGTTTCAATGGTTATGACTAGAAGAGCCTACCTACCTAGCTAGCTTTGGTGTCTATCAAGCCGTCTACAACCAGAGTATTAGAATTCAATCGATTTGAGATTGATTTGAAGTTAATTCGTTGGATCTGAACATTATATCTCAGCATCATATTCGAACACTAGGTCCTCACATCGGATCCCGGCAATAGCCTGAAAAGAACAGGCAGACAGGGAGGTCAACCAGGACCCTCCCGAACACCCGAGATAGAATTGATCCCCGATATGCTCGAGGGAGAAAGCAAATCGGTGAATAGATATAAGTAAATCACACGAATTGAAAGTAGAAAGTGAACCCCCGCGGATGCACCAGGTTGAAAGTGGGCGATGTGAAGGTCACATGAAAGGCTGTCGTGTCTTGATAAGACACCAAAATAAAGGAATTGAAAGACCTGTTCGCCTAGCCAATGCAAATGTAGATCAAGACATTGGGGGGGGAATGATGGAGGCCAAAAATATTTGCTGCGCAGAAAACCACTTTTTGTATGCACCTACCTGTCTCTTTGGTGACGAGACGAAACCGAATCCAACATGCAAGAAACCCCCGGGTAATGAACGGCCAACGCCAGTGCTAGTGAACAGAGCAGATAATCAAGAGAGGGAAGAAGAGGAGGGAAGGTAGGTTTCGGATGTCGGGGTGTATGAAGAGATGAAGGAATGTGAACTTTGCAACGGTTTAACGTCTTCCAAGTCCGCGCAGAGCGATGCGTCGGCTGGAGCCGACGGTTCCCAGGTCGCTGATACTCCGGGATTTCGAAATCACGGGAGGGGGCGCCTTTTCGGGAGCGGGCTCCGGCTCCTGGGGCGCGAGGCCGTAAGTGTAAGGGCGCAGGGATGAGCTCCTTCGAGCTTGTCCGAGTACGTCTTCCACCCATGCCTCGCTCTCGGCGCTGATCGAGACGTGCCTGGGACGCGGCCCTGCGAGACCGAGGGGAACCGTGTGGTTAACATTGCCTGCGGCGGTGTTCGTGGGAGAATACGAAGACCCATGCCGGAACTCGCTTGCTGAGAACGCGCCCATCGAGGCGTTGGACGACGTTGACAGTCGCCGTCGCGAGGAGACAGTTGACATGGGCGAATACGAAGTACTCAGTACGTCGCCAGGGTTGGAAGAGCGGAACTCGGTCATATCCGACACGTTGGAGGTCCGTCGGGTTTTGCGGACAGCTAATGATGACCCTGGCCGGTTACTGAGGACAGAAGGCGGTCGTGACGGGGTTCTCCGTCCGCTGGCAGTGGGCGCCAATTTATTTCTAGGTGGAGACGGAGGCGAGGTGCGAGAAAGCTCCTGGACCTCAACCAGAGGCGTGTCTGAAACATGTCGGCGTCCGTGATGGACGGCGAATTCTCTCAGGTACTCTGCGAAATCTGCCCATCCACCACCAACACGAACCATGACGCGCTCGCCGTTCTCGCCCACTGACCGGACGAACAGCTTGGTGGGGGCCGACTTGCCACCCCGGTGCAGATGGTAGAGCTTCACGGAACTCTCCTCTGGAGCGTGTGCATGGGAATAGCGCCGGCGGGAAACGGCGGGGGTGATGGTCAATGACGGAGTAGGTGTGCCACTACGAGCTGGCGAGCCCTGAGGAGAGACAGAGCGAAAGCGCTCCCTTTGTTTCAATGGGTAAGATGATGTCGAATGTCCATCGTGTTCATGGGCGTCCGCAGACACTAGGTGAATCTGCGCATCGAGGGCAGTCAGGATAGAGGAAATCTTTTCATCCAAATAGTCCTTGGGCTTTCTCATCTGCGGGGTTGGGGTTGACGCCCGCGACGCAGTCTTGAGGAAGGCTGGGATGGATGAAGAGTCATCATTAGATCGAGCTTCCGATCGGTATGCTCCGATGCTTTCAAGACTAGGATGTGAGGTCAACTGTCTCTTCAGACGCGTTGTGTTTGAATGTTCTAGGGGCGCTGCCGGGGCCTTGGGGACCGATGCTGTTGGGCTAGCGTTCTTAGTATGCTCCCAAGCTTCACGCAGCGTCTTTGCAATGCCATCTGTCCCCTGTTTGGGGTTCCCACCACGAGTGACCTCGGGTGACTGAGTGGCAGAACGTCGCGTTGTTTTGGTCGAGATCGAAGATGCAGCGGCTTGAGGCGTTAAAGAGGATTTCTTCGGGCCAGAGTGTAGGCTAGGAAACACTTCCTTGGGCCTACCGGTAGTTGCAGTGCCTTCAGGTTCCCTGCTGCTCTCGTCTCCAAAGGTTAACTCTAACCTTTCATTGATGAAGCGCTGCAAGGGAAGACTGAGATTTCGGTTGTGAGCGAAATCCGTATGCGGAGAAGCCTTCTGACTATCAAGGCGGAAGAGGCGGTCTTCTCGCAGCGTATGGTCGCTACCGGGTGCTACAGGATCAGATGACTGGTAGCCGGCCTGGAAGGGTGGGGGGGTTTCAAGAAGCAAAGGAGTTCCGTTAGATGAGGATTCGTGCGGTCCACGCCTCTCCGGGCTTGATACAAGCGAAGGATAGTCCGAGATAGAAGAAGCAATCGACCTGCGCCTGTGGCGAGAGTCTGCGTGCTCTGGCTCAAAGATCAGAGGACCCGGTCGAGTCTTGGACAATTTGATCGGACTTTCAAGAGGCTTTTTGGGAGTCGGATCGTCCGTAGCTTCCTTCAGCGTTAGAGAAGAAGTCCGGGGTGGGAGCTCTTCGTCACTGCTTGCAACTACCGACTTTGCTGAAGTTCCGGGGGAATCAGAGCTGAAGGCGGAAATCGAGTTTGTACCACTGGGTGGCTTTGTTGTCGGCACCTCGGCCAGGTCGTTCTGACCAATCTGATTGGTCAATGCGGATTCTTCATCCAGATTCGATGACGGCGGTAGATTTTCACAGTGTTGATCGTAGGGTTTCAAGTTTGTGGTGGAAGGTGAAGAGTCCTCTTCAATTTTGGGGGTGTCTACCCCTTGCACATGGGGGGACATGGATAAATTCTTGGGCCGCCGTATGATTACGCTCCCAGTGTCTGTCTGCGGGCTGCTTGGTGGCTGTAGGCTATCTTCTGGAAGAGTTAGACTAGAAGATTTATGCGTGGGGCATGGATGGCCGATCTCTTCTGCAGCCGAAGGCATGTCTGGTTCGATGGTTGGTAGAAGCTTATCCGGTTCCTCTGAGACGCGCTCGATTTCCTGTTTGCAGGGATGGATTTCTTGGTCCGAAGAAACCTCCTCGCAAGCTAGAGATTTTTGCTCTTCCGTACCAGGATTGACTGGCTGTACGTCAAGACGGTCGGATGTATCTTGAGCGCGAATTGCTTCATTATGAGGCATTTCGTTGCCAAGGGAGTTCTCGGGACTTTGCATGCAGGGCTTTTCATCCGAGCCCACCGCATCAGGAGAGGTAGGTAGTTGTGTTCCAAACGCATGAACATCCTCCTCCTGTTCGACGCTAGTCGTAGAAGAGGCAAGTGTGACAGGACGAGATGTTGAATCAATGGAAGTTTGGGAAACGTTGGGGGTCGCATTGCTGGAAACAAACTCAGCGGGGATGTTGGTCGCTTCCGAAAGCGCAGGTGAAGCCGTACAATCCAGGCTCAAGGGAGCCACTTCGATGACCGATGGTAAACTCGTATCTTCCTGGCAACTCGTTCCTTGATAAGGAGGCGCGGCCTCCACAGGAGTATTGAGTTCTTCTTCGTCGATGGTTTCCATAGGGAAAGTGTGAGATGTCTGTACAACGGGAGCAGACGATCCGTGAGAGTGGTCCTCGTTGCGAGGAGAATCACTAGACAATTGTTTGGACACGTCGTTTTCTATGTCGAGGTTGATGCTGGTCTTCGAGATAAACGTCATGCGCTGCCACTCGTTCTCAACGGTACGTTGTTCTGCTTGCATGGTCCAAGAGCCAAACTCTGATTCGATACCTTCAAGATCATCGATCCAGCTGTCGGGAATAGAATCTTCGCACTCGTCCAAGGCGTCAAGCACGCAATCCAATCTTCGGCCAGCCGACACAACAGTGGCTTCCAATTGGGAGCGCTTCGCATGATAGTTGGACCGGGAAAACAACGGATCCTTCTCGCTAGGAGGATCGGAAGACTTTAAGAGGTTCAAGGCAGCCTCCAACTCAGAGCGGGCGAGGCGCAAGCTGCGAAGCAAAACGGGAATCTGTCGCAGAACCAAGAGACGAACGTCCCAAATTGAGAGCAAGGTCGTTAGGCGCGATAGAAGAGGCAGAGCTCGGAGAATAGTGGCAGTGATGACGGCAGTGAAATCGCTTAACTGGACGTAAGACAGTTGAGGAGGGACGGATAAGCTACTGTTGGCTGACGAGGGCCGAGACCGGGCCGGAATGTGGGCATTGAGAACGTGCTCTTTGAGCTCGTCCATATCTAGCACGTCCAATTCGTCTCGGATTTCCTCAATGCGCTTCTCGTGTTCCTCTACCACGGCGGCGGGCAGGCTACCGTAGTAATCCTCGTCGGTCGCATCGGACGGAGGGATGAAGCCCAATCCCTTCTCATCACCGGTCTGTTTCGGCCAATTCCATGACTGGAGTTCCTTGTACCACCGGTTCAATTTCTGAGCGACAACTGCTGCGCGAATTGCGAGGGCTCTTTCCGCTGGGGAGACCTGAGCGATACTTCTGGACAGGATATCATGGGCGACTCGTTCGTTTTTGGGGACGGCATTGGTGGAGGTGAGCGCTTGGAGAGTCGACTCGGGTGAAAGACTCCCGAGGAGGGGATCGGTATGTTCATAATCGGGGATCGGTCGATTCGGAGATCGAGATCGCGGTGGGTTGCGGTGGTAGATTGGCGAGGGAAGGGGAGCGACGCGACTACTGGCCATGTCGGAAGAGGACGGCAATCGCCGGGAGAGGACCAGATCGGAGTTGTCGCAAAAGATCAGTAGTGAGGTTTAAGTGATGGAGGTCGGGTCGCAATGTCGAAGGTCGAAGAGAGAGAATATAGCTGAAGAGCAAGCATGCTGACGCGATCCCGCCAAAGTCTATAGAAGAGGAGGGGAAGAAGGTCGAGTTTTTGGTTCGAGGTTCGAGATGAGTCGAAATGTCGTAATAGACGGGAGGATGCGGAGGTGAAATGAAGGAATTAAAGTCCGAATCAGGCCGACACAGTTTGATAATGCACCCAATGGTAGAAAGAATGTATGAGGGCCAGAGGAAAGGTTAAGATCGGGCGGAAATTAATGAAGAGGTGCAAGAGGGGAGAGTGAGATCTATGGGACGAGAGAGGGAGAGAGAGGCAGAGCTATGGGATGATGCTTAGTGATAGTGATGGTTAGTGGTGGTGATAGATCACACTGCAGGGCCCAAAAACAGGCTTAGAGGGAAGTTAGGGAGAGTTGGGCGGCTGCAGGAAGCACAGCGATAACGAGAGTGGGATGATGATGATGATCGATCTCAGGAGACCAGCTCTTGACTCAAGAGAATGACTGGAGTGGCAACGATGATTCGAAGATCGGGGAGGGAGAGGGGCGAGTTATGCAGTGGTGAGTTGGTTAGAATGAGTGTTGGCCTGGGTAGAACGGGGAGGAAAAGAGAGAGGAGCTCGTCAATTAGTTAGTGAGTGAGTGAGCTAGTCTTAGCTGGCTGCGCGACACACGGGAATGCTGAGAGTGGAGCCGCGTCAGGATTAATAGGGGCAAAATAATGGTTATTTATTCTCGTGAATCCCGATGGGGCTTTACTGTCACTCACACTGCCACTCTGCCATTCAACTCCCATTGACTCAGGCATAAACCTGCCCTATCATTACTAATGTAATAAAAATATCTCGTCCAGAAAAGCCCTAGACTCGCCGTAGAGAACAGCTCCATTCTTAATAATTGTGTGTCTAGGATCTATGGTATCTGCTCCGTACTTCTCCATACTGTTTCTCCTTTCCTCCACTCCAACCTCCTCCATTTAAACAAAACATCCCTCTCCCCCCCCCTTTTTCTTTTAAGTCGGATAGGATCTGTCAACAACAAATGCACACCATCCTGTACGACATACAGTCTCCGGCACTCCGTAAATTTCCTGTACAATCAACATGACTGCTGTCTCTGTGCACACGAGACCCATCTCCATGCAGTGAGTAAGCAGTAATCCACCTTCGGAACCTGGCGGACAAGACTATTTCTTTCCCCTTTCCGGAGCCCTCCCAATGCATGGAAACCTGTGCACAATCGATCTGGAGTATGATCAAAGATGTTGTGCGAGACAATGTCTCCTCCGCAATGTGTTCCGGCTGTTCACAAGCTGCCCTTGTCGGCTCTCTCGGGCCACTTGAGGTTGAGAAGCCGTCGGAGAGTAGATCGGTGATCGACGCCCCCTTGCATATCGTATCTCATATCTGCGACCGTTCTAGTTCTTTTGCTTTGGGTGTTATATGGTTTCGAGTTATGAAAGTCTCTTGGGTGTTTTGCTGCTATCAATGGACTGCATTGGAGATTACTTCGACATCTCTTGCATGTCCATCAAAACTCTACCGTGTTCGCGACCAGAGAAGTGTTATGATCAATAGCCCGAGTAGGCAATTGCTGGCTTCCGATCAGCAAGGTTGCGTTTACTACGGGAGTATCATCGCAAAGAAGGACACTAGCTAGTTCAAAGAAAGTTAATTAATGAGTGGGATGATATTGGAAGCTCCCAGACTGCAGGAGAGTGAAAAGGATTCGTTGCGACAAGGCGTATGCTCGCTTTCCTCGACTCCCAGACCAGGGATCGTGAACCCTTGATGGAAGGGATGCCCAATCGAGATGTCCTCCCCTTTGCGAAGGAGTACAGGAAGGGTACATCCAGTATAGCATCCCTGAGGTATACCAGCAAGGTCGAGTGCCTCTGTAAGTCGAGGAGCTGAGGTCTGTAAGGGAAGTAACAAGGACCTTCGGCTTAGAAAAAGGCATGGAGCCTCTCGCCCCATCTGATGAACAGGGCGATTGTACCGCCAGCCACGTGGGTGATATTTGCCGGGATCCCTATGAGGAGTAGGGATGTATCATGTTGTGTCATGGAGGAACTTGCAAGGCGCCACGTCCTAGCCGACCAGCTGGCTAGAAGGATCGGTGTAAGTGGCGGTCGCCGCTCTGATAGGCGAAATAGTCATCGACTCTATTCTCAGTACCTAGGAACCAAGTAAAAAGCGACACGTTAAGTCAGGGGAACTTGTAACATGTTTCAGAAAGCGCGGAGATCATGAGAAGAAGAATGAAGGCTGTCATACTCTAAATCTGTAGATTGGTGGACAAGTTTGTGTTGTTTGCTCTTCGCGGGTTCCCCACACCGATCGGCCGAGCTTCACCATAACCATCATTGCATTCATTCAATCAACACTCCTTGCGCTCAACATCAACTAACTGTGTCTACACAATAATCCCACCTGCTATTCAGAGAAATGCGATAATACAACATGCGTTTTCGAACGAGACTCACCAACGCGGAGACTTTCTCCAGTACGTTCATTGCCTCTGTCGCGTGCTGCTCCATCTACCGCGTTTTGGCGTTTCGGGTGGTCGGTAGCCTTAAGGTAGCCTTAAAGCTCTGAAGGCCTAGAACCAAACCACCAACTCATCTTGCGCAATAACGAGGCCCATAGAATATAGCTAACACCACATGCCAACTCCACAGAACTGACTGCCTCCCTCTCATCCCTGGGCAAGACCTGCTGGATGCGCCTAGAGCCAGGCAACATTCGCTTCACCATCATCCCCGACCAAGGCACCCAAGTATGGGCACAATTGCCAATTGTACGCCCCGAACCAAGCAACCACCTACCACCAAAATGGACCATTGATAGTATTAATTTCAATCAAACAATCAAACTAACCAGGACATTCACCAGGACGCAATCTTCGACGAATCAAGCTACATTCTCGAATCCAACTCAGGCGGAATCATCAACCTCGAAGTGCCGATCGGCGCTCTCCACCGGGCCCTCCGCTCCGCCGTCGACGCCAAATCCGCCCAACTCCGCCTCACCCAGAAGGGCCGCATCCCGCTCCTGGCACTGACCATCCGCACGCTCTCCTGGGCGCCCGGGTCCAACGCACTGGGCATCACCACCGCACCAGCACCTGGAACTGAAACTGGTCCGGGCAGCGGTAGTAGCAGCAATGACCCTCCTACTATCACCAACGGCCCGGCCCATGCGCCCCCGTCATCCACCACCACCACTACTGACACAACAACCGGCCCCTCCCGGCCCAGCCGCGAACGCGAAACCGTGATCACGCAAGAAATCCCCGTGAAGGTCTTCCATGAGTCCGCCGTCGAGGGCCTCCACGAACCGCGCTGCCGCGACCCGGACGTGCACATCATCCTCCCGAGCCTGGGCCAACTGAAGAGCATCTCGGAGCGGTTCACCAAGCTCGCCTCGCCGGGCCACGGCTTTGCGTCCGCCGCTTCGGATGCCGCCACGAAACCCACCGCGACGGGCGTGTCGGCCACCGCCCCGAAACTCGAGCTGTCCGCCAACATGCACGGCTCCCTCCGGCTGGCGATCGCCACGGACGCCCTACGCATCTCGAGCGTGTGGTCCGACCTCGTCAACCCCTCGCTGGACCCGGGCCAGCTGTCCCAGGGCGAGATGGAGCGGTTGCCGAGCGAGCGGATGCGGGCGGTGCCCGGGGATGATGAGGCCGGGTGGGCGCGCGTGCGGATCGATGGGCGCGATTGGGGCAAGGTGTTGAGTGTGGGGAGGTTGAGTCCGAGGGTGGTTGCTTGTGCGTTCGCCCCTTTCCCCTTCCCCCCTTTTTTCTTTCCTCTTTTATTCGTATTCTATGGTTGAACATAGCTTGCTTCCCGGACTCCCTCTCCCATTGACGTAACAAGAGAGGCTGTGCTAATCGCTATGCGTTCTAGCTTTCGTTCACGAAACGGCCTTGATTCTCTATGTCTATCTCCCGGGGACGTTTAATGAAGAGGACTCGTGTCTCACGGTAAGGATGCTGAACCCCAGACAACCGATGAAACTGGCGTGTCGCTAACTCATATCGTCTGTAGTACTACATCAATTCATACGCGGCTTGATCTCATCATTTGAACACGGATCTATATCACGACATTCTTGCTTCACGAATCTCCTTTGAATACTTATATCACTCTCTAGTTATACCTGCTCTGTACTACAAAGCATATCATTGTTTCCTACGCACATAGATCGGTCGGTTTAAGCGCACAATTTCCAGCTCCATGCTAGAATTCATGGTACATTGACAGCAACAAACGTCTCAGAGAAAAATGCTAGGCATATACTCAGAACAAGGATCATCCTCAACACTCATTCATAGCTAAGGTCAAGCGATGAAATGACCATATAGTAGAAAAACGGAAGTTCAATATGTGCACACATGTAATATACACGAGGACTAACCAGTCATGCAAAGGAAAGACCGCCCGGCCAAGAATGGAAAGCCCCCATCTTGTGAGTACTCTCAGCAGTAAGTCAGACGGCATGCAACGCTTTTTTGCTGAGCGAACGTCAAATCAAACCGATGGACTCTCCCTAGACAAAGCCAGGTCACGTCCTCCGATGACACGAAATATAATCTGGGGGTTCCGACAAAGAGGAATCGTTAGACATTATAAGAAATGGTAAAGAGAAATTAAGGGTACAAAATATAAACCACTAAGGTCCTGATCCCGAGTGGAATGGGAGGGGGAGAAGGAACAGGTCAATCATTTTGCCATGACGTCGACGTAGCGACCCTTCTTCTTGCCCTTGGCGGTAGGGCCTTTGCGTGCCTGCGGCGCCCCAAGCAGGTCGTCGATGGAGCTAGCATTGCTCAACGAGGTCGCCGGCCGGGGAGGAGCGGCGAGACCAGCACTCGGCGGTGTGGGAACTGCGGCG